TCGTGGGGTAGCGGTAGGTGGGCCCGAAAAAAAAAAACGGTCCTACGGACCTACTGCTCTGAAACCATGTTAGAAACTAGAGACAGGAAATGCTTGAATTGAAACAGAGTTGGGTACATATGCTAACCCTAACATTGGGTTGTACCCTTTATGGGCTACCCCACTACAGCCTACACAAGTATATAACATATACAGTTTGACATAGCTTCGCTGGGACTGACGCCTGAGGTAGACAAACACACGTCGGTCCACGGGCATGTACTTGTCAGAATCCCAGCCACTAACCACTGGGATAAAAGGGCTTGTTTGTGTAGCGGGTGAGTGCGCCCATAACCCCCCAGGCCAACGTGCCTGTAACCCTTCCCTAGGATCAATCGGGGATCTCCAGTGGACCTCTGACAGTACTCGTAAAAATGAGTCTCGGGCAGCAGGGTAATCAGCTTGAACCATCTGACTCGGGCATCTTGCCGATCCCCACGGACGAACACACGTGTCTGTCGCAGAGTGCACGCAGCGACGAGTGCAGGGATTGCTACGCCAATTGCAGTGAGAGCAGGCAGCTGGAAACATTGCTGGAAACCTTGGAGGACAATTCCAAGAAAGCGCACCAGCTCAATGAGAGACATTGTGGAATGCTGAGTTGGCGTATGGCATGGCACTTTCACATTTGTAGCTTGTTGGACAGTCCGGGGAGAGACCATGTGGAAGTCTAGAGAGCAATTTTGGCAAGTGTGCTTCGTTGACGTGTCGCGCTGTCAAGATGCCGATACTGGGTAACGTACACACCCTATTGGCGGTTCGGTTCTCCCCCTAAAAGCTCGAACTTGCACATTCGAACTTGCGCGTGTGATTGTGAGTTTACAACTTCTGACAACAGCGGTTCGAACCTTGCAAGCACTCAAAATCGAGTCAGGTTTGCTTTGTGTTCACTTGCTACAATCGAATAAAAAACCTGAACTTAAGGTAAAAACTAGATTCACGCACGCCCTAAGCGAGATCGCTGCGTTCCAACGTGCTCTACAGTAACCTTCCTTTAAAGCTTTGTAATGTTTCCAAAAGTTCTTATTGTTTCATTGTCTTAAAAAAGCCCAGTTAATTGATTTTATTGCCTCTAATGTGCAAGTCATATACACTCAAAAAATTAGCACCCATCCTAGAACCCTTACCTATATCGTAATGATGCCCTCTTTGGTTGCCAAGTTGGCAACCACATGAATTAAGACCAACACTGACATTTAGCAGCAATTCCAAAGCATGGCGCCCTCTCATGAACAAGACAGCTGGTGCCCCCTCATTTGCGCACTAAGACAGCCGATGCCACCTCATTTGCACACTAGAAGACAGCTATCTCTCACGTGCGCGACAGCTGGCGTCACCTCAGCTGGCGCCACGTCACTTGCGTACAAGCAGCGGGCGCATCATGTCGTTGTCCTCGTGCTCCAGGATGTGGCAGTGCCACACGTACCCCGGGCCCTGTGATGGGTCGAATGAAAACGGCTTCCCGTCCTGCCATATGGGGGGAAAGGAGGGAGGAGAGAGGGGGAGGGGGGCAAGGAGGGAGGAGAGAGGGGGAGGGGGGCATCATGTGGTTGCCCTCGTGCTGTCAAGGATGTGGCAGTGCCACATGTACCCCGGGCCCACTGACGGGTCAAATGGGAAGGGCATGCCGTCCTGGCATGAAGGAAAGAGTGATGGTAGGGGGTGGTGAGGGAAAGGGCAAGGGGGTGGAGGTGATGATGGTACCTGCACTCTTGTATATACACACCTGTGAGCGGACAGCAACGAGGATAGATAGCACCTCCCCCAGGTGAGCCTTGGTGTCCCTGGTTGTGAGCTTTGATTCATATTCAGTATGCTTCGGGACCCTTGGGCCTACACACTACACACTACACACCTGAGAGCGGACAGCAACGAGGAAGGATAGCACCTCCCCCGGGTGGGACTTAGTGGTGTCCTTCCACCCCTGCTCGTTCAGATCCACCCTCCTCGCCCGCCCTGTGAAGCACGACGGCAGCTTGTCCTCCCCGCTGCTCCTCGTGCCGCCGTCGCTGCTGATTATGCCGCTGCTACCCCCGCTGCTCATGCTGCTGCTGCTGCTGCTGCTGGTGCCAATGATGCTGCTCCTGGTGATGCTGCCCGCAGGAGAGGAGGCGGCGGAGGCAGTGGCGGAGAGGGAGGAGGGGTAACCCGGGTAGGGGTAGAAGGCGCAATCGTCCGAGAGAAAGGCCTCAGAGTTGAAGGGACGGCGAGCGAAGGGGCGGTGCTGCACTAGGTGCAGGTGGATGGGGTGTGAGTCGGCTGATGGGTTGATGATGTGCCATATCTCCACCGCTCCCTGCTTGCATGGGGGTGGGGGAGATGGGGGAACGGCCAGAAGCAAGCACAGTGATTGGAACGACAGTGCATTAGCCCTGCATTCTTCGTGGCACTCACATTCTTCGTGGCACTCACATTCGTCGTGGCACTCACATTCGTCGTGGCACTCACATTCTTCGTGGCACTCACATCTCAGAAGCAGGCTGCACATGCCCCCGCTCGTTGAGCTGAATGACTGCAGGTGGGCATGTCACTGTGCTGGCCGGGTCCACCGTCTCCCCTTTTCCCCTCTCACCCCTACACCCCTGCGGCACTCACGTTCTTGAGAATCTCAGTGGGGCGTTCCAAAAAGCCTCGGCCGTTGATTTGAATGACGGTGGGCATGTCGCTGTCGGGGTCCATCCTCTCCCCCAGCACGTGCCAGCGCGATCGGGTCACCTGGTTGAAAGGTATGCGCGCCAGGGGCTAAGGGGTGGGAATAGAGGGGAGTAGAGAGGAATAGAGGGGAGTAGAGAGGAATAGAGGGGAGTAGAGAGGAATAGAGGGGAGTAGAGAGGAGCAGAGGGGAGTAGAGAGGAGCAGAGGGGAGTAGAGAGGAGCAGAGGGGAGTAGAGAGGAGTAGAGGGGAGTAGAGAGGAATAGAGGGGAGTAGAGAGGAGCAGAGGGGAGTAGAGAGGAGCAGAGGGGAGTAGAGAGGAGTAGAGGGGGGTATGGGGCGGTAAGATTAAAAGGGCATGACGGTGGCATGTCACTGTCCGGGTCCATCCTCTCTCCCAGCACGTGCCAGCGCGATCTGGTCACCTGGTTGAAATGTATGCGCGCCAGGGGTTGGGGGGGGGGGGAGGAAAACGGGAGAGTGGGGCATGGTGGAGCGCAGAGGGAGCAGGGGTGGGCAGGGTGGAGAGGGAGTGGTGGTTGGGTTGGGGGGTTACACTGTCCACTTCCCCCCTCTCCCCCAGCCCATGCCCGTGCGAGGTGACTTCTGAGTCGGCTCAAAAGTCACCTAGAGACCTGGTTCAAGGGCAAGCGCGCCAGAGGCTCGGGGGGAAGAGGAGGAATAGGCGGTGGGGTAGAAGGGAGTAGAAGGGAGGAGAAGGGAGGAGAAGGGAGGAGAAGGGAGGAGAAGGGAGGAGAAGGGACGAGAAGGGAGGAGAAGGGACGAGAAGGGAGTAGAGGGGAGTAGGGGGGAGTAGGGGGGAGTAGGGGGCAGTAAGGGCAAAGGGGATGACAATGGGCATGTCGCTGCCCGGGTCCATCCTCTCCCCCAGCACGTGCCAGCATGTTTTAGTCACCTGGTTCAAGGACAAGCATGCCAGGGCAGGGACTGGGGGGTGGAGAGCAGTAGAAGGGTGTAGGGGGGAGTAGAGGGGATAAAGGGGGTGGAGGTGAGTAGGGTAGAGGGAGAACAATGGTGGTGGGCATGTCGCTATCCGAGTCAACGTGATAAAAGTGTAGTTTTGAGATGTTGCAAAACTAAACTGTTATCTTATAGAGGGGATTCAGGGGGTGGAGGTGAGTAGGGTGGAGGTGAGAGCAATGGTGGTGGGCATGTCGCTATCCGGATCAACCCTCTCCCCCAGCACGTGCCAGCGAGTCCCAGAGACCTGGTTCAAGGGCAAGCGCGCCAGGGGCTGGTGGGGGGGGGGAGAAAGAAAAATGGGAGAGCGGGGCATGGTGCGGCGCAGGGGGAGCGGGGCATGGTGCTAGCGAGTCTTAAGGGGAGGGGAGGACAGGGCATGGTTCAAGGACAAGTGCACCAGGGGCAGGGGGGAAGGAAGTGGGGGGTGGGCGGTGGAGAGTAGAAGGGAGTAGAGTGGCAAGGGCATGAGGGGGCCTGCCAAATCTCTCCTTGAAATAAGAGTGTTTCTGAGACGTCTCAAAAAACACTTGTATTTCACATGCACTCACGTCCTGCCAAATCTTCCCTTGCCTTCGAATTCCAGTTCCTGCCCTCCCCTGTCCTCTTCATGCCCTCCCCTCCCCTATGCTACCCTCCCCTCCCCTATGCTACCCTCCCCTCCCCTACGCTACCCTCCCCTCCCCTCCTGCCGCCCTGTCCTCCCCTCCCCTCCTCTGCCCTCATGGCACATTACACTCACCGCGATCATCTTGGGGAGGGGCGGAGCAGGGACTGCCGACCGCTTGGTGAGGATAAATCGCATGACCACAGCTGTGCCGTCACTCACGCGCTCTCCTGAAAGTGGCGTGGTGGGGGTGGAGGGAGTTGGAGTGGTGGGGGTGGAGGGAGTCACCTCGTGGTGGGGGTGGAGGGAGTTGGAGTGGCAAACTTTGAAAAAATCGGAAACTTGATGAGGACGGATGGATGAATCACATGATTACTTTTGAAATTTCTCAAAACTAAAATCCACATGGATGGATAAATCGCATGATTACGGGCGCTTGGTACAGTCGTGCCATCACTCACTCGCACAGTAGCAGGCCAAGTAAGCTTAGAGTAAGAGTGAGTGAGGTACTCCCAACCCAACCCGGCTCACTGGGTACCTCGCTCGTCCGTTGTGGGCTGCTGCTTGTGTGAGAGTGTACGCACCAGCAGGGTAGGGCGCGCGGGCATGGTTCATCAGCAACACGTCGCGGCAACAGGAGGGCGCCTCATTGAAATCCAGCGCTGCTGCTGGTTTCAAGTAAGCTTAGAGTGGGCTGCTGCTGGTGGTGTTAGAGTGCACTTACCAGCAGGGTAGGGCGCGCGTGCATCGTTGGTGAGCAGCACGTCGCGGCACCAGGAGGGGGCTTTGTTGAAACCAGAGGTTCCTGCTGGTGTGAAGTATCTTACCAGTGGCATGAAAAGGCGGGTGCAAAGTTTTGATCCACTCACCAGCAGGGTAGGGCGCGCGGGCATCGTTGGTGAGCAGCACGTCGCGGCACCAGGAGGGCGCCTCGTTGAAATCCACAAGCATGTCAAGTCGCTCCCCCGGTGCCACCAACACGCTGCGCATGCGCAGGGGACGAGCGAGGTACCCACCGTCACTGCCAATCTGCACACGTACCGGGTGAGGGGAGGAGGGGGGAGGGGGTGGATTGAAGGGGGGGCGGGGAGGAAACAGAGGAACCTCGTTGAAATCCACCAACATGTTGAGCCACTCCCTCGGTGCCACCGGCACTTGGTGCATTCGGAGAGGGCGAGCGAGATACCCGCCGTCCCTGCTGATCTGCACGTTCAGGGGGGATGCAGAGAGGAGAGGTAACAACAGGGACGGTTGGTTTGTAGCACACTGTGGCAACACACTGTGGCACCAGGAGGGCGCCTCGTTGAAATCCACGAGCATGTCAAGGCGCTCCCCCAGCGCCACCAGCACTTCCTTCATGCGCAGGGGACGAGTGAGGTACCCTCCGTCACTGCCGATCTGCATGTGTGGGGGAAGGGAAGGGAAGGGAAGGGAGAGGTGGAGACAGGGAGGAGAGAGGTGACGAGGATGAGGCTCTCCCCGCCCGGCGCCACCAGCACACTCGGCACCTGCAGGAGGCAGATGGTAGGCGCCTCCTGACAGCTCACTGACAGCGCGGGCTGGCTGGCAGGTAAACCAGCCCATGCGAGCAGCACCACATCCCACCCACGTGGGCCATGGGGATGATGGGCACAGGAGGCGCAGATGGTAGAAGCATGCGTTGGCCGCGCCCAGGGTCGGCAGGCTGGGAAGCAGCACGGCAGCACAGGGTCGGCAGGCTGGGAAGCAGCACGGCAACACAGGGTCGGCAGGCTGGGAAGCAGCACGGCAACACAGGGTCGGCAGGCTGGCAAGCAGCACGGCAACACGGCACCCAAGCAAGCAGCACAACACAACTCGCACCTGGGTCATGGGGATGATGGGTCCCCTGAACGGAGGCTTAAAGTCGTGGTAATCACCCCGCACGGCGCACTGAAAGCACAGATGGTAGAAGCGTGCATTGGATGGCGCCACACTGCACCGCACACCATACCACATCACCCACGTGGGTCATGGGAATGATGGGTCCCCGGAAGGGTGGCTTGAATTCGTGGTAGTCCCCCCTCACGGCGCCCTGCAAGCAAGCAGCACCGCACTGCACCGCACACCATACCACATCAACCACGTGGGTCATGGGAATGATGGGTCCCCGGACGGGTGGCTTGAATTCGTGGTAGTCCCCCCTCACGGCGCCCTGCAAGCAAGAAGCAAGCAGCACCGCACTGCACCGCACACCATACCACATCACCCACGTGGGTCATGGGAATGATGGGTCCCCGGACGGGTGGCTTGAATTCGTGGTAGTCCCCCCTCACGGCGCCCTGCAAGCAAGCAGCACCGCACTGCACCGCACACCATACCACATCAACCACGTGGGTCATGGGAATGATGGGTCCCCGGATGGGTGGCTTGAATTCGTGGTAGTCCCCCCTCACGGCGCCCTGCAAGCAAGAAGCAAGCAGCACCGCACTGCACCGCACACCATACCACATCACCCACGTGGGTCATGGGAATGATGGGTCCCCGGACGGGTGGCTTGAATTCGTGGTAGTCCCCCCTCACGGCGCCCTGCAAGCAAGCAGCACCGCACTGCACCGCACACCATACCACATCACCCACGTGGGTCATGGGAATGATGGGTCCCCGGACGGGTGGCTTGAATTCGTGGTAGTCCCCCCTCACGGCGCCCTGCAAGCAAGCAGCACCGCACTGCACCGCACACCATACCACATCACCCACGTGGGTCATGGGAATGATGGGTCCCCGGACGGGTGGCTTGAATTCGTGGTAGTCCCCCCTCACGGCGCCCTGCAAGCAAGCAGCACCGCACTGCACCGCACACCATACCACATCACCCACGTGGGTCATGGGAATGATGGGTCCCCGGACGGGTGGCTTGAATTCGTGGTAGTCCCCCCTCACGGCGCCCTGCAAGCAAGCAGCACCGCACTGCACCGCACACCATACCACATCACCCACCTGGGTCATGGGGATGATGGGTCCGCGGAAGGGCGGCTTGAAGTCATGATAGTCCCCCCGCACGGCGCACTGAAAGCGCAGATGGTAGAAGCGCGCGTTGGATGCCCCCAGGATCGGCAGCCGGTACAGTGCTCTCCGCACCCGGAAGTACGGCCAGACCTGGAGGAGAGGTACGGGAAAAAAGGGGATGGGGAGAACCAGGTTGAGGGGTGTGTGTAAGGCGACACACAGCAAGGGCGGGCAGACAGCTGATACAACAAACCTTAACAATTCAAACCTTAACAATTCAAACCTTAACAATTCAAACCTTAACAATTCAAACCTTGAACAATTCAAACCTTAACAATTCAAACCTTAACAATTCAAACCTTAACAATTTAAACCTTAACAATTCAAACCTTAACAATTAAAACCTTGAACAATTCAAACCTTAACAATTCAAACCTTAACAATTCAAACCTTAACAATTCAAACCTTAACAATTCAAACCTTAACAATTCAAACCTTAACAATTCAAACCTTAACAATTCAAACCTTAACAATTCTCAAGAGTGACTCCATACATACCCCCTGCTACTCGTCCCCCCTCCTTCTCACTTCATACATCTCACTTCCCACACATCACATCGTACCTTCCCATTCACCCGTGATCGTATTTCCGAAAAACTCCGGCTGCCAGTGAGGCTGCTTATATAATTGACTCCAAAACCACTTCACAACTCTCACATCTCACATCGCACATCCCACATCACAAATCACACATCACATATCACACATCGCACATCACACATCACACATCACACATCACACATCACACATCACACATCAGACAAGACACATTACACATCATAAACAATACATCTCACGCCATACATACCTTCCCATTGACCGAGATCGTATCTCCAGAGAACTCCGGCTGCCAGTGCGGGCGCTTTTGAGTCGCCAAAACAACCACTTCACATCTCTCACTTCTCACATGGCGCATTGTATGTCAAGCATCTCAATTCATACCTTCCCATTGACCGTGATCGTATGTCCAAAGAACTCCGGCTGCCAGTGCAGGTGCTCCTTCGGGACAACCCCATCCACCGGATAGTTCACCGACTTGTTTGCAAAGAACATCCGATCCGCAATCGCCAATGGCATGAAGAACGGCTCGCCAGGCAACAGCGCCCACTTGTCGATCGCCTTCTCCTCCTCCTGACTCCAAAACCGCTTCACATCTCTCACATCTCACGCCATACATACCTTCCCATTGACTGTGATTGTATCTCCGAAAAATTCCGGCTGCCAGTGCGGGTGCTCCTCCGGAACAACCCCGTCCGTTGGATAATTCACCGACCCGTTCGGAAAGAACATCCGATCCGCAATTGCCAACGGCATGAAGAACGGCCCGCCAGGCAACGGCGCCCACTTGTTGATCTCCTTCTCCTCTCCCTTGGGATCCGTTATAACGTACAAGCCCGCCATCCCCGCCATCACGTTTATCCTCGTTATAGCAATGGCGTGGTCGTGGTACCACACGATAGAGGGGCGCTGGTTGTTGTGGTAGTGGTACAGCCGTGTGGAGAACTTAGGTCCTTTCTCCCCGAACTGGGTGAACCAGGCTTGTGGGTGGCCGTCGTATATGCTGTGCGTCTCACCCCCATGGCGGTGCGGGACTAAAAAAAGGGAGGCAGGGATGGGGAAAAGGCAGGGATGGGGAAAAGGCAGGGATGGGGAAAAGGCAGGGATGGGGAAAAGGCAGAAATGGGGAAAAGGCAGGGGGAAAAGGGAGAATTGTGCAACGTTGGCTTTGCTGGTTGTTATGGTAGTGGTACAGCCGTGTGGAGAATGTAGGTCCTTTCTCCCCAACCTCTGTGAACCAGGCCTGTGGTGGCCGTCGTATATGCCGTGAGTCTCACCCCCATGGCGATGGGGGACTGAAATGAAGGAGGGAGGGGAGGTGAAAAGGGAGGAGTGTACAAGGGTGCCCTTTCAAACCCCGCCAACTGAGTGGACCAGGCCTGTGGGTTTCCGTCATAAATGCTGTGAGTCTCACCCCTGTGCCGATGGGGGACTGAAACAAGGGATGCAGAGGAGAAGGGAAATGGGGGGAAAGAAGGGAAGATGAGGATACGAGCTTGGTTTTTCAGATTTTCCTTTAGTGCAAGAACCTTCGGCATAGCATGGCACGGCATGGAATGGCATTGTGTGTCCATCCCATGGCATGGCACGGCATGGCATGACACGGAATGGCATGGCACGGCACGGCACGGCACGGCACGGCACGGCATGGCATGGCATGGCACGGCATGGCACGGCACGGCATGGCATGGCATGGCACGGCATGGCATGGCACGGCATGGCATGGCATGGCATGGCACGGCATGGTAGTGAGAATATGTACCGATGGGCACGCCCCCCTTCTTGGGCATGGGGATCATAAGTGTGTCGTCCAGCTGCATGCTGCTGTGAGGGGTGCATGGCATGGCATGGGATGACATGGCATGGGATGGCGTGGCACGGGATGGCGTGGCATGGGATGGCGTGGCATGGCATGGCATGGCATGGCATGGGATGGCATGGCATGGCATGGCATGGCATGGGATGGGATGGCATGGCATGGCATGGCATGGTATGGCATGGTATGGCATGGTATGGCATGGCATGGTAGAAAGAGAACATACCGATGGGCACGCCGCCGTGCTTGGGCATGGGGATCATGAGCGTGTCGTCCAGCTGAATCATGTGCTTCCTGTCCGTGATGTGGTTTGACCAAAAGATCTGACCAGATAGAAGGGTGTGGAAGAGGTAAAGAGACAAGGGAGGGGTTGTGGAGAAATTGGAGGAGGGAAGGAGGAGGTAAGGTGGGGATGGAGGGGGAAGATGGGAAAAAGGGAGTGTGACAACGGGGATCTAAGGGGACGTATGGGGAGTATGCAAGAGAGGTTGCAGACAGGGGGGATGTCTGAGTGGTACTCTAATCCAGGTGACATGGAGCGCGGTCACGTTCCAAACCTGTTTGCACCGAACCTCACCGCACACAGCTGTACAGCGAGGGAAAATCGGTGCTGAGGGCGCTCCTGGGTGTCTTTGTTTTGAGTCGGCTCAAAACTAGGCTCAAAACTGAGTCAACTCAAAACCACACACAGCTATACAGCGAGGGGAAAATGGTGCTGAGGGAAGCTCCCAGGTGTCTTTGCCCTTCTGCGCCAGGGTGATGGGGCCACTAAACCAGAATAAGACACGAGAACCCAGTGGACAAGAGCTCGTTCAGGCCCCCACCTGAGTGTCTTTGCCCTTCTGCGCCAGGATGGTGGGCCCGGAGAATGCGGCGGAGCACGTGTTGACCTTTGGACAGACTCACAAGTAACCTCAGCACAGCACAGCACAGCACAGCACAGCACAGCACAGTCAGGCTTTAGCCACCCACCTGGGTGTCTTTGCCCTTCTGCGCCAGGATGGTGGGCCCGGGGAAAGCTGCGGTGCGCTGGTTGAGTCCGTACGCGTACTGCTTCGTTGGCGGCAGGTCCCGATGGAACTTCTGTTAAGGGGAGAAGCGGATGTGGGATGAGGGATGGGGACGGACGGAGGGATGGAGTAAGAACAGTGTGGTGCACAGCGTACTGCTTCATTGGCGGCAGGTCCCGATGGAACTTCTGTTAGGGGTGGGAACGGGGATGGGGGATGAGGGATAGGGGAAGAGAAGGGGGATGTGTTGTGGGGAATGCGGCAGTGCACTGGTCGAGCCCGTACGCGTACTGCTTCGTTGGCGGCAGGTCCTGATGGAACTTCTGTTAGGGTGGGAAGGGTATGAGGAAGAGGAAAGGGGGGGTTGGAGACGTATGGTTGAAACGGGTCCCCGCTGGGGTGGACGCGGCATGGCGGGAAGGGGGGGGCGGGGGGAGGGAGGGCGGGAGGCGGAGTGGGGCGGGGAGGAGGGGAGGGTAGGGGTTTTAGGGGGGTTTGGGGGGTGAGAAAGGTAATAGTCATGAAATCAGTCAAATTGTACGTTGACCGTGATATAACCACTGCGAGTGGTAGAGGATGAGGGAGAAGTGGAAGGGAGGAGGGAAAGGGGGAGAATGGGGTAAGGTGCGTTGGTGTGCAGAAAATTTTGTTGATAATATTTAGCAACTCCCATCCTCCTTACAAATTTCAATGTTATATTACAACAGCTTTTGTAAAGAAACTCCATGAAACGAATCTGTAGTGCTCCTAGCGCGCGGCTACACAGTTCAGGGTGACATTTGATCGCAGCTGTCCAACACAACGGTTGGACTCTCATCCGTAGATTCCGTCAGCAACACTTTTATGAGTCTTCACATCTGGAAATCGGCTCCATCTTGAAACCCAAATTATTGGTCATCGAACCTCTAAAGTTTAGCCGACGTTGTACTTCGTTTCGCGTTACTCAGCGGCAACGGCGGAGCGTTAACTACTCAGGGAGCTTGGGCCGGCGCCGGAAATCGTCTACGATCTACCCCACATCGGACGTGTTTTATCCGGGTCGCCTCGCTTGCTGCAGTCGTAGATGTTCACCGGTGTCGCAACTAGAGCTTGAAGACTACCGTAGTATGAAGACTACTGTAGATCTGAAAGACCGAACCGAATCACGAATGGCACATCCGAAAGACCGAGTGCCGCCTGCTGTATCTGAAAGATCGAATCGCGGAAAGTATAGATAACGAATCGCGCTTGTAGAATCGGGAAACCAAGTCGCGCCTAGGAAAACCCGAAAGACCGAGTGGCGCCTTTTGGATCTGAAGGATCGAGTCGCGGTAGAAGGCCTGAAATATTGTATCGAGTCGCGCCTGGTAGATTGAGTCATTTCCCGGTGTGCCAACGAGTCGCACCTGGTAAATCTGGTAAACGCCGATGCGAACGAGCTTTCCGTCACTCGTGTCGACGGCGACGCGCATGGTGGTCGCCAGATCGTCGACGAACTTGCAGAGCGCGCGCGCGGGAAAGGCGTTGCGGCACTTAGGGCCCGCCGCCGGCGTCCCCAACGCTCCCGCATTCCTGCCAGCAACAGCCACGGCTGCGGGAAGGGCGTACGTGCGCCACGAGGAGGGTTGGGGCAAGTGGCCGTGGCGCGCGGCCAGGGGGGGGTATTACCACAATGCGGGATGGGGGAGGGGGGAGAATAAATAGGTGCGCGAGTCGGGAAGAACCATCACAGCGCACACGCGGAGAAGGCGTTGCGACACTCGGGGGCCCGCCTACGGCGTCTCGCTCCCGCGCTCATACCAGCATCGGCTGGGGGACAGAGGAGGGGAGTTTTGGGCGGGCATTACCACAGCGCGGAGCGGGACAGAAACAAGGAGCGCGCACTGAAAGGTTTTCGTCTCTTGGCGGCTGCCGTTAACAGCGTCTGCATCCCTCCCTCGTTCCTTCCAGCCGCAGCGACTGTCGTGCGCCGGATGAGGGGTCTGGGGCTGGCGGGCGGGCGGGCGGGGAGGGGGGGGAGCCGCGGGAGAATCCAAGAAATCGGAGCGGGAAAACCCAGCGCAACGGGCGCGCGGGGAAGGAGTTGTGACACCCAAGGTCCCACCGTCTTGCCACGGGCAAGGGACACAGGGGGCGAAATGCGGGGGGGTGGGAGGGGAGGGTGTACGGGGGAGGAAGGGAGGGCGACTCGGGAGAGAGGGGAGGGAGGGAGTTTTGGTGGGTGGAGATGAAGGGGACGACTTCGGGGAGGAGGTAGGTGTAATGTGTTGCGTCGCGATGCACTACCAGAGTCCAGCCCATGGAACGGGTCACTAAAGCGGAAAAGGCATTCGTCGTTGTACGACGCAACGTGCAATGGAGGCTTCAGGGCTTACCAGAGACATTGACAACCGCGCGCGTGGCGAAGGCGGCGACAAGAAGCAACCCCAGAGAGTAATGCACGGCCATCGCCATGCTTCGAGTCATTGCGACTTCAATGCGCCAGCTGCGGCAAGCGCTTACGGAATGAGCGCGCCTCGTCCGGCGACGGGTTGACGGGCTCCCCCGGATTGCGGAAAGCGGAACTTTTCCAGAGCCGCCTTCAGCTGAATAACGCGGTAGCGGAAACAAAGGCGACGAATGCAAGCGAGTCGTCGCGAGCCGCGACGCGCCGCGTTATCGGCGGAACGGATAGGGGTGAGCACCGACTATGTCGACGCGAATGATGTCGGATACGAGCGACCGTTTGTTACCAAGCCTGATTGTAGTAGTTGAGGATAAGACCATGTGGCGACTAAATATGATAGCTTCACTGCGAGTACAGAGCGACGGGGATGAAAAGCAATAACCCCGCAGACCCCACTAGGTTAGGACAGGAGACGCACGCTGTGCTGCGCGCAAGGCTGACACGAGCGCGATGTGAGAGGGGCAAGACCACATGGAAACAGGTGATGGAACCAACGAGGTTCTGAGAGTGAGACTGTGAGCGGTGGGTGGCAATGCAAACCCATTTCGCATGAAATGAGCTGGCGCGAAGTGCAAGGGTGGCCGCGAAGAGCCAGAACGATCGGTTGGTTGGTCGTCGAGAAACTCGACACGACATTGGCCAAAGCTCCTTTTGGTTTGCGGCGGTCGTGTCGAAGCCATAAAGTAGCCTTCGCTTCGAACGGACGGCTGAGATTGAGAGAATACAGTACATCCGACAGCTCAAGCTCCAGAACGAGGCGTATTCTGATCAGACGGAGCTGGCGGGGGAGAGAGGGGATAGGGAGGGAGACATGGCTGGGACTTTTTTACAGCTAATCTGGACCTTCTCTGCCCACAAGTTTGCTTTGGATTTTGCACCACCTGGGAGCGTTTACACCTACTATTCCAGACCAAAATTCAAAATTTGACGGGGTTAGTTTCTCAAACTTTTGATGCATAGTTTTTCAAAATTTTAGTCGGGAAATCACACAGCGCCACATTTCGGGCCGTAGGGTGCCTGTACAGTAGATAATTGATACACACGATGCTCAGCTGTTGCGCGCAAATCCGAACTTTTATTCTTGACAGCCTGCCCAATTGCATTTGGTACCAGCCAGTTGCACCCACGGTACAAGCCCTTAATTTGATCGCAGCTGTTGAACATACAGCTTATCACGCTGTCATCCGTCCGTTCGTAAGATATTTTGAAGAAGCTGGTTACATTTCTTCTCGTGTCTACTACAGTCCCAATTTTACCCGTGGCGAGTGTTGGCGAGGCATGCGACAAACGCGCACTCTAAACACTTTTATGACGAAAAACGGTAACACATATCTGGTGTATTTACAGACTGGAAATCAGCCAAGGGCACGGAGCAGGCCTGTCGAGGTGTTTGGGACCAACACTTTGAGTTCTCAGCTGCTCCAATTCTAGCCCTGATTTTCACGGGCGCAGGCCGAATTCAAAACTTTAAATCCGGGCTTCTTGAAAACATGTCCTTTGCCCTCATAAAACAAGGTTTGTGATCCTATTACTTAGCAGCAGAAAGGGGCACACCAACTAAACTACACGCCTACCGTCTGTACATCGTCGGCAATGTATCGCAGGCAAAAAATATCTGGGGGAGGGCAGGTGAGGGCACAGGAATTAGAATGGGGGGGTTCTTCGAACCAGAAATCAAAACTTGGATTCAGGGGAAGGCCCAAATGGAGCCCCTACTGTCACGGGTGCCATGCGAATCTAACACTTGAATCGGTCGAGCTGCTCTGAACGTAGACCGGAATGTTCAGGGCATTAAGGGAAAATGCTCTTACTTCGACAGCCCTGGCACGGAGGCGACTAAAAACGGTTGCTGTCAGACGAGTTTCACGCGCTGAATGCATGGCTGCTGGGCTGGGGGGATGAACTGATGGGGACTGAGTTTGACGGTCTGGTTGGGCTAAAGTAAGCTCTAATGCGGTAGAGAGCGGTTAAGATGCTGGATCCAACTTGTTCCGTCGCGGGGCACGAGAAGGTGAACGAAGCACTGTGGGGCTGAATCCCTTCACAAATTTTGGAATTTCTTCGGGAAATTATATCCTCGCTCCTGACTTTCAGTTTTCTCTCATATTCAGCCCTAGGTTTACTCAAAAAGCACCACTTTCTAGAATTTCTCTCACGCGAGGCCCAAAGTATGTTCAAAAGTGGTCCTGCGGGGCGATTTTTTCGACACGTGTCCTCTTGTTACACCATCTGACGAACTTCCACGCATGGAAAATTTGGACGGGGGCAAAAAAAATAAAACCCCTAGAGAACCAGGACACATTCGCGGGAGGGATCAACCCTAAACACCTAGCAGGTCCCGTGTTTAGGGTTGCTCCCTCCCGAAAATGTGTAATGGTCCTTTAGGGGTTTTATGTTTTTTTGTCCCGTAAAAACTTTTCCGGCGCGAAAATTGCCCTGACAAACGGTTAGTTCAGAGTGGAAGTGCGTCAGCTGGTAACAAAACGACACGTGTCGAAAACTTCGCCCCGCAGGACCAGTTTTGAACATACTTTGGGCCTCGCGTGAGAGAAATAATGGAAAGTGGTGCTTTTTGAGTAAACATAGGGCTAAATATGAGAAAAAACTGAAAGTCAGGAGCTGGGATAGATTCCCAATTTCTTCAAAAAGGTCGTCATGTCGTGTCGTGTCGTGTCGTGTCTTGTCTTGTAGTCGTGTCGTCGCCACTTCATCCTCCAAGACCAAACGCGAAGCGCGAAATGCATCTGTGAGCCGCGCAAGCTACCCAATCACGCAAGCTGAACCGATTGGGTGGTTGAAGGCGTGTGAACGACATGAATCTCGTCGCCTGGAAGGAATGTGCTTCGCATTTTGCTACGTGTAAACCACGCGACTATCTAACGATTAATCTCCATCCAGCTCATTTCTACGGCGACGAGACTCCAATTGTGACAACATGTTGAAAGCGAGCGGCTCGCGCCGCCAGCGGCGCGAAGAGGAGGCCACTGTACAGCCGCTCAGCTACCCCTAGGCAGAGCAGGAAAGGAGAACTGTATGTGATTGGTTGGTCACTCCTGCACATAGCACTGTACACCATTTCTCTGTTGCAGCATTCAATGGCGACGAGTGGCCCACGTGTGTCATCGTCAGCAATGCCACGCCACAGTGCTTCGCAACTTTGACTTCGAGCTTGGTCTGTGTTTATCAAAACACGGAAATGCACCTACGTGTAGCTTGAACGACTAAAAATACTCTGCAACATACAACCCCCAAGAATGATACAACTAAATCTTGACTCGAGTTGAGATATGCCTTAACTAATTTTTAGCCCCAGTTTTAAAAGTATAACTCCGTACACTGTGTCGCTACCGTTCTTTGCCCGTTACCAGCCGCCAGGGATGATTGTATGCTCGCTTAGCTTTGCCAAAGATGCATTGGAGTATCAGACCGAGGTGGCATACGCTTCAGGACTGGTCCACCCAAGCCTCACTGCCAGCATCGAATAGCTTATGTCGCATTCGCGCATTACAGTTCATGGTTCTTCGCTATTGTGTGTTCGCTCATACCATCGCCTCCAATGTACTGAACTCCTTTCTTGACTTGACCCCTTGGTGCAAGCCTCGATTGCTCCTGCCGCTGCACTCATACGGTAACAGCTTCAATAGGCTATCAAGCCTTGTGTGATTGTCATGAGTAAAGTCCCCCACACCACAAAGCTCGCAAGTGATTCTGACTTGCGTACTACACGAGATGCAGAACCCCTTCCAATCAATCAGCTACTGCAAGTAAATTCTCTGAAATACTCTATGGACACATAGTACATGGGTAAAGCATATATGCTAGTTGCTTCAAGTTGTTGGCACCACTACCACCACCCACCACTGGAGTTTTGCCAGCAGGCCGCTCAACTAGTTTGGCTCTGGTAGCAGGTCTCAGTCCGTGATGCCATGGGATACTGGGTGACATTAAGGTCGGGACCCTATATGTTTGTACTGCACCGCGCTGCACTGCACTGCACTGAACGGCTTGCTTCTCCATAGGTACATACTACAGTTTTCCCAAAGCCGACGCCAGCCGAGCCAAGCCCAAGCTCCCCGAGCCTCCTGCTGCGGCTCGGTGGCGGTACAGCCGAAGCGCAACAGCACTGGCAACCAGAGGGCAGGCGACAGCAAGGGCGAGATAGGCCAGGTGCCATTTGGGGGAGGTTGCACCTGCCCATCCGGGGGAGGCTGCAGCTGCAAAGAGGTCGGTGGAGGGTGCGTGAGAGGGGGAGGCGGGGGGGTGGTGGGGCAAGTGCAGGTGGTGGTGTGGGAGGTGGCTTGGTTGCTCTTGGTTGGAATTGTGCTGGTGGGTCGCTGCTGCTGGATCAGAGTCCTCAGACTGTGTGGGTTGGGGGAGAGTGTAAAGGGGAAAGGATACAAGGCTTGGTGGTTTGGACGTTCAGAGACAAGTAAAAGCTGTGCAATGCGGTTGTGATGGGTGGAGAACTGGAAATGCATGTGAACAAGAGGGAACAAGGGGGATCGGATGTAAATTGGCCATGGGAGGGGGTGGGGATGAAGAAGTGAAGAAGGGATGGAAAGAAGTAGCAAGAGAGGGCCATTGATCACACCTTGTGTTGACGCATGGGTGCGGTGGATCGGCGCGCGGAGAGGGGCAATTGAAGAGCTGCGAGGGAGGATCGGAGAACAGAGGAATGACACAGAGGAACAGAGGATCAGGAGGTGAGCAGTGGAAGAGGGGCTTATCATGAGAGGGGCTTATCATGAGAGGGGCTTATCATGAGAGGGGCTTAACATGAGAGGGGTCTTATCATGAGGTGTATGTGTAACTTGGAAGAACGATGTGCAGACGGGGATAAAGAGGAACATGCTACAAGGGGCACATTTCAAGAGTGTGAATCGATGAGTGCAGTATGAGGAGCGTATATTGATGACTGCTATTTGGTGCCCATAGGGCTAAAAGAATCTGGAAGCGTCTTTTGTTAGGCTGGCTTGGTCTGAGTGGCACGAAGGCGAGCTGGGGGTAAAACGTGAGAAGCTGAAGCCCAAAACGGGAGAAGCTGAAGCCTAAAAGCACGCCGGGAAAAATTTAGTGCATGGTTTACAATATAAATGCTCGACTGGTGGAATGAATAAATATGGTTGTTTTAGTACAGGGATCGAGAAACGAGGGTGGAGGGAAGGGGGGGAGAGGGAGCAAGAAAGAGGGAGCACAAGCAGAATCACGAGGGTGGGAGAGAGCGAGAGCAAGGGCTAAGGATTAGAGCAACTCTTGAGACGTCTCAAAAGAGAGAGCGAGAGGAAGGGCTAAGGATTAGAGCAACTCACCTGGTGGTGATGCTTCGAGGCATCGCTGGATCTGCCACACACGTTGGAGAAGGCATTGAGATGAGGGTGGTTGAAGAAGCGTGGGTTTAGAGGAGGGCGATTAGAGGAGGTCAGTGATAGGAGGGTGGTGAGAGGAGGGCAGTGAGAGGAGAGAGTGGGTGTGAGCGACACCAAAGGAACAAAGGCTACGAAAACACACAAGAAAGCTGCAGGCCCCAAAAAAGAGGCGTTCGGAAGCACGAGTTGGCGAAAGATCAAATGATCCACACGGAAGGTCACAGAACAAAGGAGCAAATAGGAGGCTACAGAACACGGAAACACCATCTCACGAACCCTTCCACAACCTGCTATACCTTGGTCATTTCGCTAACCACTAATTCAACCCTTCTCTCATCCACTTTTGAGGCGCCTCAAAACTCATCCACCCATACCTTGACCATCACACACACACCCCCCTCCCCCATCCCGCACCAACCATACCTTGCTCATCAGTGTGCGCACCAACCATACCTTGCTCATCAGTGTGCGCACCAACCATACCTTGCTCATCAGTGTGCGCACCAACCATACCTTGCTCATCAGTGTGCGCACCAACCATACCTTGCTCATCAGTGTGCGCACCAACCATACCTTGCTCATCAGTGTGCGCACCAACCATACCTTGCTCATCAGTGTGCGCACCAACCATACCTTGCTCATCAGTGTGCGCACCAACCATACCTTGCTCATCAGTGTGCGCACCAACCATACCTCAGCGTCCTCCCCGCATATCTTGCTCCTCCCCCCATACCTTGCTCATCAGCTCTCGGACCACCGCCGCAGCCACCCTCAGCTTCTCCTCACTCTCAAACCGCAGCTGCACCACTGCTGCTCTATCTTGCTCACCCTGCTCACCCCATCCCTCGTTCCTCCCGCACCACCCATACCTTGCTCATCAGCTCGCGCACCACCACCGCAGCCACCCTCAGCTGCTCCTCACTCTCAAACCGCAGCTGCACCACGGCAGGCCCCCCTGCTCCTGCCCTCCCTGCTGCCGCTTCTTCCCCACCTCCCCTTACTCCCGCTGCTCCCCCTGCGCCTCCCACTCCCCCCACTCCTCGCCTCTCCACTCCTCGACGTTCCACCCCTCCTCTTCCACCAAAATTCTCTACATTGCTGATAGACCCGGTTTTCCCTGTCCCAGATACCACCTCCCCCAGGTCGTCCTCCCCACACATGGCGCCTGCAGGGCCCATCTCCCACTCGTCCTCGCCGGCCCCCTCGCCCACTGCGCTCCCCACCTCCCCCTCCTTCCCCTCATCCTCGTCAATAACAGACTCTCTACCGTCTATAGTCCCTGCCAGCACTGACATGCTTACAGTGCTCATCCCCTCCTCCTCATCCTCATCCTCCTCCTCCTCCTCTCCCCCCTTTTCTCCTTCTCCCTCTCCCCCCACTCCCCTCTCCCCTTCATCTTTCCCCACCATCCCACCACTTGCGGATCCCACCCACTGAACCTTCCCCCGTCCTTCCCCCCTCTCAGCTTCCCTCCCCCCACCCCCCTCACTCTGTCCTCCAACAATCTTCCCTGTTCCTTGCACACACGCACTCTCCCCAGCCACCCTCCCTTCCATCCTTCCATTACAAACGGAACCATTAGTTGCAGCGGCAGCAGCAGCTGCAGCAACAGCAGCGGCATTACTATCAGCAGCACCGCTCCCAACCTTCCCACGCTCCTCTCCCTCCTCCCCTTCAATGCTAAACACCCCAATCGGCCCGCCACGCTTGCCGCCCCTGCCCGTGAGGCTCGGCACGCCGAGCCTCTCCTCCCGAGCCTCCTCCTCCGAGATGTTCCCGAGGGAGGAAGGGGTTCGTCGACGGGCCAGGGAGGTTTGCGAGGGGGAGAGAGGCGAGGAGGAGGAGGGGGGAGGGAGGGTGCCTAGAGCAGCAACAGAGCGGAATGATGGGGTGGAGGTGAGGAAGGGGGTGGGTTCCATGAAGTGAGGGTGGGGGTGAGGGGGAGGGTTGGTTGCTGTTGAGGAGACAGGAGGGGCCTGTGAGGGCAGAAACAAGGGTGGGAGGAGGAGAAAACACGGGAGGAAGAATGAGGGAAGAATGAGGGAGAGGAAAGGGAAAGGCTCCATGTGAGAAAGTGGGGGTGAGGAGGGGGGTTGGTTGCTGCTGAAGAGACAGGAGGGGCCTGTGGTGGAAGCAACACGGGTGGGAGGAGGAGAGCAGAGGGGAGAAAGAATGAGGAAGAGTGCACCGATGGGAAAGAATGAGAATGGGTGAAAGGGGAAGGGTCCATGATATGGGCGATGTTCATGAGGCGATTCAAGGAAGTAGTGGGAAAGGGGAGGGGTCTATGATATGGACATGGGGTTGAGAGGGAGGGCAATTGGTGCTGACAGGGTGGGGATGGTTAGCGAAGGGATGGGACCTGGGTGGAGGAATAACTGGGGTGGTGAGCGGTGGAAGGGAGTGTGAAAGGGTGTAATGAGGGAGAAAGCCTCATGTGTGTAAGAGTGTGAGGAATAATCCAAGTGCAGCATTCACATACCACTGTCATATGTCCAGTAAGAGGCAGCCCTCTTACTTGCAGCACTTACGTGGCCCACTGTCTCTCCTGCCTTGCGAGTTGACTTTTGAGTCGACTCAAAAGTCAACTCGTTTGAGGCAGCCCTCTTACTTGCAGCACTTACGTGGCCCACTGTCTCTCCTGCCTTGCGTGCATCCGCCACAGCTTGTAGGAAGTCTATCGATACCTGCACCCACCTGGGGGGTTGAGGGCAGGGGGGGCAAAAAGGGGAGGAGGGAGGGAGTAAGACTTTTGAGGCGCCTCAAAAGGAGGGAGGGAGTAAGAGGGATTCAGCAATGCTTGCTCCCAGTGGCAGGCGAAGGGGAGAATCTGAGATTCAGAAGGATTGGAGAGGGAAGAACGAAAGGGGAGAGAATGCGGGGGAAGAGTGAGAGGGGGAAGAGTGAGAGGGGGGAGGATGAGATGAGGAAGAATGAGAGGAGGAGGAGAGAGGGGGGACAAGAGAGGGGGAAGGAGAAGGAAATTTGAGAAGGAAATTTGAGAAGGAAATTTGAGTTCCAAGTGTGTGTATGCCAACTGCATTGAGAAACATCAAGTCATCCAAACACTATGCGTGCAGAACATTTTGGTGTTGTTGGGGTCCTCTGGTCCCTGTGGTGAAAGCAAGAGCCGCACCAACTCACCCACCGGAGGCACCGAGGAATCACCACCCCCACCACACCCACCACCAACACACACCCACCACCCGCCATATGCTTCTAGCAGTGAGTCCCTGCAGGTATGTGTCGCGTGATAAGGGAACGGAAAAGGAAGTGTATATACGGTATATTTGTATATAGCAGAGAGGAGACTTCTACCAAGGAAAGGAGAGTCGAGGAGAGGTAAGGGCGGGGGACAAGGCAGCCGAAAGGTCAAAGGAGCTGGCACCGGGGGAGGGAGGGTGTAATGGGAGAGGCGGGAGAACACTCTGGATGTCGCTGCTTTTGCTTCGTGAGCGTGCGTGTGTATGTGCATGTTTTGTGTTCTGCAGGCTGATTGCTCGAGCCAGCTGGAGTGACGGAGGTTGGAGACGAGGTGGAGGTTGGAGACGAGCTGGAGGTTGGAGACGAGGTGGAGGTTGGAGACGAGCTGGAGGTTGGAGACGAGCTGGAGGTTGGAGACGAGCTGGAGGTTGGAGACGAGCTGGAGGTTGGAGACGAGCTGGAGGTCGGAGACGAGCTGGAGGTCGGAGACGAGCTGGAGGTCGGAGACGAGCTGGAGGTCGGAGACGAGGTGGAGGTCGGAGACGAGGTGGAGGTCGGAGACGAGGTGGAGGTCGGAGACGAGGTGGAGGTCGGAGACGAGGTGGAGGTCGGAGACGAGGTGGAGGTCGGAGACGAGGTGGAGGTCGGAGACGAGCTGGAGGTCGGAGACGAGGTGGAGGTCGGAGACGAGCTGGAGGTCGGAGACGAGGTGGAGGTCGGAGACGAGCTGGAGGTCGGAGACGAGCTGGAGGTCGGAGACGAGCTGGAGGTCGGAGACGAGCTGGAGGTCGGAGACGAGCTGGAGGTCGGAGACGAGCTGGAGGTCGGAGACGAGCTGGAGGTCGGAGACGAGCTGGAGGTCGGAGACGAGCTGGAGGTCGGAGACGAGCTGGAGGTCGGAGACGAGCTGGAGGTCGGAGACGAGCTGGAGGTCGGAGACGAGCTGGAGGTCGGAGACGAGCTGGAGGTCGGAGACGAGCTGGAGGTCGGAGACGAGCTGGAGGTCGGAGACGAGCTGGAGGTCGGAGACGAGCTGGAGGTCGGAGACGAGCTGGAGGTCGGAGACGAGCTGGAGGTCGGAGACGAGCTGGAGGTCGGAGACGAGCTGGAGGTCGGAGACGAGCTGGAGGTCGGAGACGAGCTGGAGGTCGGAGACGAGCTGGAGGTCGGAGACGAGCTGGAGGTCGGAGACGAGCTGGAGGTCGGAGACGAGCTGGAGGTCGGAGACGAGCTGGAGGTCGGAGACGAGCTGGAGGTCGGAGACGAGCTGGAGGTCGGAGACGAGCTGGAGGTCGGAGACGAGCTGGAGGTCGGAGACGAGCTGGAGGTCGGAGACGAGCTGGAGGTCGGAGACGAGCTGGAGGTCGGAGACGAGCTGGAGGTCGGAGACGAGCTGGAGGTCGGAGACGAGCTGGAGGTCGGAGACGAGCTGGAGGTCGGAGACGAGCTGGAGGTCGGAGACGAGCTGGAGGTCGGAGACGAGCTGGAGGTCGGAGACGAGCTGGAGGTTGGAGACGAGCTGGAGGTTGGAGACGAGCTGGAGGTTGGAGACGAGCTGGAGGTTGGAGACGAGCTGGAGGTTGGAGACGAGCTGGAGGTTGGAGACGAGCTGGAGGTTGGAGACGAGCTGGAGGTTGGAGACGAGCTGGAGGTTGGAGACGAGCTGGAGGTTGGAGACGAGCTGGAGGTTGGAGACGAGCTGGAGGTTGGAGACGAGCTGGAGGTTGGAGACGAGCTGGAGGTTGGAGACGAGCTGGAGGTTGGAGACGAGCTGGAGGTTGGAGACGAGCTGGAGGTTGGAGACGAGCTGGAGGTTGGAGACGAGCTGGAGGTTGGAGACGAGCTGGAGGTTGGAGACGAGCTGGAGGTTGGAGACGAGCTGGAGGTTGGAGACGAGCTGGAGGTTGGAGACGAGCTGGAGGTTGGAGACGAGCTGGAGGTTGGAGACGAGCTGGAGGTTGGAGACGAGCTGGAGGTTGGAGACGAGCTGGAGGTTGGAGACGAGCTGGAGGTTGGAGACGAGCTGGAGGTTGGAGACGAGCTGGAGGTTGGAGACGAGCTGGAGGTTGGAGACGAGCTGGAGGTTGGAGACGAGCTGGAGGTTGGAGACGAGCTGGAGGTTGGAGACGAGCTGGAGGTTGGAGACGAGCTGGAGGTTGGAGACGAGCTGGAGGTTGGAGACGAGCTGGAGGTTGGAGACGAGCTGGAGGTTGGAGACGAGCTGGAGGTTGGAGACGAGCTGGAGGTTGGAGACGAGCTGGAGGTTGGAGACGAGCTGGAGGTTGGAGACGAGCTGGAGGTTGGAGACGAGCTGGAGGTTGGAGACGAGCTGGAGGTTGGAGACGAGCTGGAGGTTGGAGACGAGCTGGAGGTTGGAGACGAGCTGGAGGTTGGAGACGAGCTGGAGGTTGGAGACGAGCTGGAGGTTGGAGACGAGCTGGAGGTTGGAGACGAGCTGGAGGTTGGAGACGAGCTGGAGGTTGGAGACGAGCTGGAGGTTGGAGACGAGCTGGAGGTTGGAGACGAGCTGGAGGTTGGAGACGAGCTGGAGGTTGGAGACGAGCTGGAGGTTGGAGACGAGCTGGAGGTTGGAGACGAGCTGGAGGTTGGAGACGAGCTGGAGGTTGGAGACGAGCTGGAGGTTGGAGACGAGCTGGAGGTTGGAGACGAGCTGGAGGTTGGAGACGAGCTGGAGGTTGGAGACGAGCTGGAGGTTGGAGACGAGCTGGAGGTTGGAGACGAGGTGGAGGTGGAGGTTGGCCCGCCCTTGTTGCAAAGGGGCCTTCGTACAAGGCAGGAGCCCCAAGGTGTAGCAATAGGGGGAGTGAGGTTGGGAAGATATAGGGAGTACGGGCAATCGACTCTGCACTGTTTATATGTTCTGTGTATTCTCATGAAATTGCATCACCTCATCTCACATGTTCGTATGGCTGCGGTGGTTTAGTTGGTAGCACGGGGAAGATCTAGAAAGTACGGGCAATCGACTCTGCACTGTTTGTATGTTCTGTGTATTCTCATGAAATTGCATCACCTCATCTCACATGTTCGTATGGCTGCGGTGGTTTAGTTGGTAGCACGGGGAAGATCTAGAAAGTACGGGCAATCGACTCTGCACTGTTTGTATGTTCTGTGTATTCTCATGAAATTGCATCACCTCGTGCAGAGCAGGATATGGTGAGATGCTACTCACATGGCTGCGGTGGGCTTATTTTTTAGTCGACTCAAGAGCAGGAGATGGTGAGATTCTACTCACATGGCTGCGGTGGTTTAGTTGGTAGCAGGAGATGTGAGTAAGCTAGCTTGAGCTTATCGGTGCATATCAATAATGGGAACAAGTGATGAGGAAAAGGGGAAGCAAGGCAAGAGGAGAGAGCTGGGGGGATGGGGAAGTAAGAGGCCAGTAAGAGGGGGTGAAGCGGACTAAGAAAGGATGAAGAAGAACGGAAGTAGCTGGGAGTAAACAGCAAAGGGGAGAGGAGAAGTGAGGTGAGGGGATGTGGTTGATATCCTGGAACCAGGGGAGATAGGAGAGGCGGCTGGGAGGAAGATGAGCTAGCGGAGAGAGGAGCAGGGTAAGGGGATTTCCGACGTATGCCCGACGCCCCCCGTGGTGCGACACTGCTAGCACCCAACCGCACACACCCCTCCCCCACACGCACACCATGCCACGAGCACAACCCCTTCCCCAAACACCCACCATATGCTGGAGGCAGTGAGCCCCTGCAGGTACGCAAGATGGCCCCCGTGGTGTGACACTGCCAGCACCACGTTTGGGTTGGCTCTGAAGGAGGGGACCGAAGGGCGGTGAGAGAGAGGAATGGAAGCAGCAATGAATACGGAGAAACTGGGGGAGCGGTAACACAGATGGTATGCCAGATGGTATGCCACATGCCCCCCGTGGTGTGGCACTGTCAGCACCACGTTTGGGTTGATCCTGAAGAGATTGTGGGGAGAGGCGGGAGGGAGGGGAGACACAGGAACGGAACCAGCAGTGAAGAAAGGAGACAGTAAGGCAATGGGCAATGCAGAAGCCTTTCGGAAAAAACAGTTTTGGGAACAAGCATTGCGGTGATTTTTGAGGCGCCTAAAAAATCACCTCAATGCAGAAGCCTTTCGAGAATGCAATTCTGGGAAGCAGCATGCTGTATCAATTTTTTTTTGAGACGTCTCAAAACATGTGTAACAACGGAAACTTTTGAGATGTCTCAAAACATGTGGATCAACAAAAGCACCTCGAGACCAGTATTGATGCTGGTATCACTGAAAGAACTGCAAACTTCTCATCCAGCAATACCTTCTCGACTCGATCTGCTGGCACGAGAAGGGCACAATACCGCCCAATCTCCCAGCACACTCACTTGCCCCTATCCCAGAAAATGACCCTTCTCGTCCTATCTCACACCCCTTCTCCATCACTTCTACCCTCACCACCCCTCCTTGCCACTCACGTGGCCTCGTCCCGCCCCATTGGGCCTCCTTGATGCATATTGGGTTGTCCACTTTGACCCTGTTCGACCTGAATCAGTTCGAGTTTTGTCCACGTGAAAAACGATTTAACATGGACATTCAAAGAGAATTATAGTGTATGTGTTGAAAATGGAATCATGTAACGACGCAATTCGTACATTTGGGGATCGGTAGGTAGGCTGTGTTGAGGCGGTGCGTGGATGGCGGCGGGTTGAAGGTCGAAGTTAGGGGCAAATGATGGTGTTGGCGGATCTCCAAGGTCGACCGGTTTTTGTTGATTGATTGAAGTCAAAGTGTGAGTAGCAACGATTGCTCGCTCCAACTCGAGTTGCGTAGCAAAGTCCTTGCCATTAGTCATGAGTGGCAGAGATGGGAAGGACGACCTAGAAACAACAAAGATAAGTTAGATTATGGTCCAACAACCGTTATGACTTTCTTGTCCTTGTTGAACAATGATCTGCCTTATCTTTGTTGTTTCTTGGCAAAAAGAACGACGTAGTCATCCTTTCAAACTCTGCTAGTCAATAACTATGGCAAGGACTCTGTTACGCAACGAGAGTTGGAGCAAGCAATCTGCTGCTCACAAAAAGTCCATCTTGACTTCAAACAATCAACGAAAACCAGGCAACCTTGGAGATCGGCCACCACCATCATCCGTCCCCAACTTCGACCTTCGACACACACCGTCCTCCGACCAGCCTACCTGCCGATCCCCAAAGGTATGAATTGCATCGTTACATGGTTGCTTTTCCAACACTTACACTGTTATTCTCTTTGACTGTCCGCGTTGAACCGTTTTTTATGTTGAAACGCATATTGGGTACCCGACTTCGACCCCGTTTGCTCAACCCACATCCCACTCACTTAGCCTCATCCCACTCTCTTACCCTCCTACTTACTTGACCTCGTCCCACTCGCTTTCCCTCCTCCTCACTTGGCCTCGTCCCACTCGCTTGCCCTCCCACTAACTCGGCCTCATCCCACTCACTTGGCCTCGTCCCAGGGAATGGCCTCCTTGGTGCAGATGATTGTCCAGTGCGCTCACTGCCAGCAACGGCACAGCCACCTCGAACAGACTATTGAGTCGTCTCAAGATTACCCTCACCACCCCCTTCCCCCCCTTTCTTTGCCTCCCCGCCCACTGCCACTCACTTGGCCTCGTCCCAGGGAATGGCCTCTCTGGTGCAGATGGGGTCGTCCAGTGCGCTCACTGCCAGCAACGGCACCGCCACCTCGGGGAGAAACTGGGCCGAGCCGCAGCGACGGTAGTACGTGTCAACAGTCTGACGTGGGGGCAAAGAGGTGAGAGAAGAAAGAAATGGAAGGTAGGAAGGGCGAAACGAGGGGCTAAATAGGCCATGTGAGCCATAGGAATAGATGTAGGGGAGAGCAGAGGAGGGAGGGGTGGTTGGAAAGGGGCTGTGGATAAGGAGGAAGGGCGAGTGCGGGGGCAGGGGAAAGGGTAAGAGGGGGAGTACAGCATGGGGAGCCACAGAAGAGGAAATGAGAGGTAAGCGGGGGAGCACAGGCAAGGCAAACACGGCAGAAGAGCTAAGAGGTAGGCACGCACCTCACAACTGCTGAAAATGCATGGGAGGTACCCACCTCGTAGTTGCTGACGATGCGTGTGATGCGATCGTCAAACTGGCGGATAGTGCGCGCCTGAGCGGGCAGATGTACACAGCACACACATGTGTATATCTCAGTTAAAGAGACGAGGAATAGATTGTCTGAAAGAGTAGCCAAGGACTAGAAGAATAGGAGCAGTAGGGTGAAACAATTTGACGATGCATGAAGCTGTTGAGAAATGCTAAGGGAAGAATATGTATGCTTGTTGCTCCCTTCCGGCCAACTGGTTTTTTTTGGAACGATCTGGTTCACACATGCCGCCCATCACATGCCACCCACAACATGCCACCCACAACATGCCACCCACAACATGCCACCCACAACATGCCACCCACAACATGCCACCCACAACATGCCACCCACAACATGCCACCCACAACATGCCACCCACAACATGCCACCCACAACATGCCACCCACAACATGCCACCCACAACATGCCACCCACAACATGCCACCCACAACATGCCACCCACAACATGCCACCCACAACATGCCACCCACAACATGCCACCCACAACATGCCACCCACAACATGCCACCCACAACATGCCACCCACAACATGCCACCCACAACATGCCACCCACAACATGCCACCCACAACATGCCACCCACAACATGCCACCCACAACATGCCACCCACAACATGCCACCCACAACATGCCACCCACAACATGCCACCCACAACATGCCACCCACAACATGCCACCCACAACATGCCACCCACAACATGCCACCCACAACATGCCACCCACAACATGCCACCCACAACATGCCACCCACAACATGCCACCCACAACATGCCACCCACAACATGCCACCCACAACATGCCATCCACAACATGCCACCCACAACATGCCACCCACAACATGCCACCCACAACATGCCACCCACAACATGCCACCCACAACATGCCACCCACAACATGCCACCCACAACATGCCACCCACAACATGCCACCCACAACATGCCACCCACAACATGCCACCCACAACATGCCACCCACAACATGCCACCCACAACATGCCATCCACAACATTGCACCCACAACATGCCACCCACAACATGCCACCCACAACATGCCACCCACAACATGCCACCCACAACATGCCACCCACAACATGCCACCCACAACATGCCACCCACAACATGCCACCCACAACATGCCACCCACAACATGCCACCCACAACATGCCACCCACAACATGCCACCCACAACATGCCACCCACAACATGCCACCCACAACATGCCACCCACAACATGCCACCCACAACATGCCACCCACAACATGCCACCCACAACATGCCACCCACAACATGCCACCCACAACATGCCACCCACAACATGCCACCCACAACATGCCACCCACAACATGCCACCCACAACATGCCACCCACAACATGCCACCCACAACATGCCACCCACAACATGCCACCCACAACATGCCACCCACAACATGCCACCCACAACATGCCACCCACAACATGCCACCCACAACATGCCACCCACAACATGCCACCCACAACATGCCACCCACAACATGCCACCCACAACATGCCACCCACAACATGCCACCCACAACATGCCACCCACAACATGCCACCCACAACATGCCACCCACAACATGCCACCCACAACATGCCACCCACAACATGCCACCCACAACATGCCACCCACAACATGCCACCCACAACATGCCACCCACAACATGCCACCCACAACATGCCACCCACAACATGCCACCCACAACATGCCACCCACAACATGCCACCCACAACATGCCACCCACAACATGCCACCCACAACATGCCATCCACACACGCCGCCCACCTTCATGACGTGCTGCACGTCCACAAGGTGCCGAAAGCTATCCTTGTGACTGCGAGGGGGGGAGGAGAGGAGGGGGAGGCGAGAATAAGGGGGCCAAGGAGACGGAGGAGAGGAGAGGGGCAAGAGAAGAGAGGTGCAAGAGAAGAGAAGGTGTAACGAGGACCTTCATGACGTGCTGCACGTCCACAAGGTGCCGAAAGCTGTCCTTGTGACTGTGTGAGGGAGGGGGGGGGGGGGAATTGAAGGAGAACGGCCAAAGGCAAAACGACCAGAGCACAGAGGAGGGGGGGGGGGAATGAGGAGCAAAGCAATCAAGGTAGACCAGAGAGTGGGAAGGAATGCAGCACAGCCACTATCTAGACATGACAGTCTTTCAGATTCACAATGATTCTCATACTACCTCGTGCTTCCCATCCCATCCCATCCCATCCCATCCCATCCCATCCCATCCCATCCCATCCCATCCCATCCCATCCCATCCCATCCCATCCCATCCCATCCCATCCCATGCCATCCCATGCCATCCCATGCCATGCCATGCCATGCCATGCCATGCCATGCCATGGCACACAGCTGACATCCCACAGCTTGGCAAAGTCGCGCAGACCCCATGACCACGGCAGTGTTGTCCACGCGCTCTCATGCATCCATGTCCCACTGTCTCGGGCCATGCCATGCCACCCCATGTCATACCATACCATGCCATGCCCTCCGTCACCACACGCGGGTCTCACAGCTTGGCAAAGTCCCTGAGGCCCGTGACCATGGCGGTGTTGTACACGCGCTGCCTCGTGCGCCGATTCATCCAGCGATCACAGATCTGCGAGTGGGAGGGTGGTGGGGGGTGGGGAAGAGTGGAGAGGGGGTTTGGAGAGAAGAAGGGCTCATTTCTCATAGGAGTCATAGGCAGGAACCGATTATTTCCTTTGCTAAACTTTCTCCTATGCTGCTGCTCACTGGAGGTGACTCAAGGACTCATAGGCAGGCAAGAAGGGAAGCTTCTGGATATGAGGGAGGAGAACACAGGTCGAGCCCATATATCAGTGGTGTAGGGGGGAGTTAGGAGAATATGTTTGCACCGGCATTCCAACCACGCACGTGTGCGTGCATGCATGCACTGTGCAATGTGAATGGACATGTGATAAGAGGCCACATGTGGTAGGGAAGCAGAGGTCAAGCCACGTGACAAAAGTAACATTTTGAGATGGAGCCAGCAGGTCTCAAAATGTTACTTTTATCATACATGCCAGCAGGTCTTAAAATGTTACTTTTATCATACATGCCAGCAGGTCTCAAAATGTTACTTTTATCATACATGCCAGCAGGTCTCAAAATGTTACTTTTATCATACATGCCAGCAGGTCTCAAAATGTTACTTTTGTCATACATGCCAGCAGGTCTCAAAATGTTACTTTTATCATACATGCCAGCAGGTCTCAAAATGTTACTTTTATCATACATGCCAGCAGGTCTCAAAATGTTACTTTTGTCATACATGCCAGCAGGTCTCAAAATGTTACTTTTATCATACATGCCAGCAGGTCTCAAAATGTTACTTTTATCATACATGCCAGCAGGTCTCAAAATGTTACTTTTATCATACATGCCAGCAGGTCTCAAAATGTTACTTTTATCATACATGCCAGCAGGTCTCAAAATGTTACTTTTATCATACATGCCAGCAGGTCTCAAAATGTTACTTTTATCATACATGCCAGCAGGTCTCAAAATGTTACTTTTATCATACATGCCAGCAGGTCTCAAAATGTTACTTTTATCATACATGCCAGCAGGTCTCAAAATGTTACTTTTATCATACATGCCAGCAGGTCTCAAAATGTTACTTTTATCATACATGCCAGCAGGTCTCAAAATGTTACTTTTATCATACATGCCAGCAGGTCTCAATATGTTACTTTTGTCATACATGCCAGCAGGTCTCAAAATGTTACTTTTATCATACATGCCAGCAGGTCTCAAAATGTTACTTTTATCATACATGCCAGCAGGTCTCAAAATGTTACTTTTATCATACATGCCAGCAGGTCTCAAAATGTTACTTTTATCATACATGCCAGCAGGTCTCAAAATGTTACTTTTATCATACATGCCAGCAGGTCTCAAAATGTTACTTTTATCATACATGCCAGCAGGTCTCAAAATGTTACTTTTATCATACATGCCAGCAGGTCTCAAAATGTTACTTTTATCATACATGCCAACAGGTCCCAGGGGTTGCTGATGGAGGCAGCAGCTTGGATGGGCCCCGATGCACCCTCCTCCCCGAGAGAGGAGAATCTACTTGCACTGGCATTTCACCCACCCACCCACCCACCCACCCACCCATGCCTGCAGGCAACGCACAGACTGAGCACTGTGAATGAGCATGTAATGAGGAATCAGAGGTCAAGCTGGTACATACCAGCAGGTCCCAGGGATTGCCGATGGAGACAGCAGCTTGGATGGGCCCCGATGCACCCTCCTCCCCGAGGTACTTCACCTGCAGTTGAGGGGGAAGGGGGAGAATAGACAGGAAGGAAGGGGGGAGAGGGAGAGCAGGGAGGGGAGCACAGATGGAGACAGCAGCTTGGATGGGCTCTGAGGCACCCTCCTCCCCGAGGTACTTCACCTGAGACAGCAAGGTGAGGGAGAGGGACAGGAGAGAGGGTTGAACCGTTTTAAGTGCCTATAGAACCAAGCCTAGGTGGCACAGGGATTGCCGATGCTGACAGCAGCTTGGATGGGCTCTGAGGCACCCTCCTCCCCGAGGTAATTCACCTGAGCGTGGGAGGAGAGGAGGGGGGAAGGAGAGGGGCAGGAGGGAGGGTTAAACGATTAAAGTGCCTATCGAGCCAATGGTGTGACAGGGATTGCCAACGGAGACAGCAGCTTGAATGGGCCCTGATGCACCCTCCTCCCTGAGGTACGAGGTGACCTTTGAGTCGACTCAAAAGGCCCTGATGAACTTTTGAGAATTCTCAAACGCGATTTCAATATACGAGGTGACTTTTGAGTCGAGTCACAAAGCCCTAATGCACCCTCCTCCCCGAGGTACTTCAAAAGCCTGATGAATCGCCTCCCCCCCCCCACACCACCACATCAGCATGCTTCAAGGCCGACCATCTATCTTCAAGTCATTCAGTGAAGCTCCCTCACTCACCAAGATGTTCGCCCCCAAGGACGTGCCGATGGCATAGAGGGGCGCGTGGGGGTAGTCCTGCTGCACGAGGCTGATGACAAAGCGCAGGTCCGTGGTCCACCCCGCATTGTAGAAGCGGTTCGACTGGAGAGGGGGAAGGGGGGAGATAAGGAGGGGAGACAAGGTGGGAAACAGGGGACGTGTGTGGGTAATCTTGCTGCACGAGGCTGATAACAAACCGCAGGTCCGTGGTCCACCGGTTCGACTGGGGGGGAGGGGGAGGCAGTGGGGTGTGGCAAGGGCTTGGGTTGCAGAGCAGGAGCTCCATGAGTCGTGTTTTGAGTCGACTCAAAGCAGAGCAGGAGCTCCATGATGCTGCTTCTCGTTGATGTGATTGTAGGCATGGGACTTTTGAGTTGACTCAACATGTGTTGTGTGCCGTTGTAACGAGGTGACTTTTGAGTCGACTCAAAAGGGCTTAGGTTGCAGAGCAAAGGCTCCATGATGCTGCTTCACGTTGATGTGACTTTAAGCATTGAAAACTGTAACTTCAGCTCAAAGTGATGGTGACTCAGCTCACAGTGATGGTGACTCTGCTCACAGTGAAAGCTGACTAAGCAAACAGCGTTAATGACTCAGCTCACAGCGTTAATGACTCAGCCTCACAGCGTTAATGACTCAGCTCACAGTGATGGTGACGCCTCCCAGGCCTCGATGGTTGGGCACCAAGGCTCGCCACCCATGCCGTGTGACGCCCGCCACACACTGCCGCATGTACTGTGGAGGGGGGTGGAGGGGAGGAGAGGGGTGCAGGGGGGTGCAGGGGGGTGCAGAGGATGGGTGTGCAGGGGCAGGTGGTTGGGAGTGACAGGTGGTCGCCACCCGTGGCGTGTGACGCCCGCCACACACTGCCGCATGTACTGTGCAGAGCAGGGGAGCAGAGGGGAATGGAAGAGAGGGGGAGCGAAGGGCCGGGAGAAGAGAGGATGCGAGGAGAAGAGAGGATGCGAGGAGAAGAGAGGATGCGAGGAGAAGAGAGGATGCGAGGAGAAGAGAGGATGCGAGGAGATGAGAGGATGCGAGGAGAAGAGAGGATGCGAGGAGAAGAGAGGATGCGAGGAGAAGAGAGGATGCGAGGAGAAGAGAGGATGCGAGGAGAAGAGAGGATGCGAGGAGAAGAGAGGATGCGAGGAGAAGAGAGGATGCGAGGAGAAGAGAGGATGCGAGGAGAAGAGAGGATGCGAGGAGAAGAGAGGATGCGAGGAGATGAGAGGATGCGAGGAGAAGAGAGGATGCGAGGAGATGAGAGGATGCGAGGAGATGAGAGGATGCGAGGAGAAGAGAGGATGCGAGGAGATGAGAGGATGCGAGGAGATGAGAGGATGCGAGGAGAAGAGAGGATGCGAGGAGAAGAGAGGATGCGAGGAGAAGAGAGGATGCGAGGAGATGAGAGGATGCGAGGAGAAGAGAGGATGCGAGGAGAAGAGAGGATGCGAGGAGATGAGAGGATGCGAGGAGAAGAGAGGATGCGAGGAGATGAGAGGATGCGAGGAGAAGAGAGGATGCGAGGAGAAGAGAGGATGCGAGGAGATGAGAGGATGCGAGGAGAAGAGAGGATGCGAGGAGAAGAGAGGATGCGAGGAGATGAGAGGATGCGAGGAGAAGAGAGGATGCGAGGAGAAGAGAGGATGCGAGGAGAAGAGAGGATGCGAGGAGAAGAGAGGATGCGAGGAGAAGAGAGGATGCGAGGAGAAGAGAGGATGCGAGGAGAAGAGAGGATGCGAGGAGAAGAGAGGATGCGAGGAGAAGAGAGGATGCGAGGAGAAGAGAGGATGCGAGGAGAAGAGAGGATGCGAGGAGATGAGAGGATGCGAGGAGAAGAGAGGATGCGAGGAGAAGAGAGGATGCGAGGAGAAGAGAGGATGCGAGGAGATGAGAGGATGCGAGGAGAAGAGAGGATGCGAGGAGAAGAGAGGATGCGAGGAGATGAGAGGATGCGAGGAGAAGAGAGGATGCGAGGAGAAGAGAGGATGCGAGGAGAAGAGAGGATGCGAGGAGAAGAGAGGATGCGAGGAGAAGAGAGGATGCGAGGAGAAGAGAGGATGCGAGGAGAAGAGAGGATGCGAGGAGAAGAGAGGATGCGAGGAGATGAGAGGATGCGAGGAGAAGAGAGGATGCGAGGAGAAGAGAGGATGCGAGGAGAAGAGAGGATGCGAGGAGAAGAGAGGATGCGAGGAGATGAGAGGATGCGAGGAGAAGAGAGGATGCGAGGAGAAGAGAGGATGCGAGGAGATGAGAGGATGCGAGGAGAAGAGAGGATGCGAGGAGAAGAGAGGATGCGAGGAGAAGAGAGGATGCGAGGAGATGAGAGGATGCGAGGAGAAGAGAGGATGCGAGGAGAAGAGAGGATGCGAGGAGAAGAGAGGATGCGAGGAGAAGAGAGGATGCGAGGAGAAGAGAGGATGCGAGGAGAAGAGAGGATGCGAGGAGATGAGAGGATGCGAGGAGAAGAGAGGATGCGAGGAGATGAGAGGATGCGAGGAGATGAGAGGATGCGAGGAGAAGAGAGGATGCGAGGAGAAGAGAGGATGCGAGGAGAAGAGAGGATGCGAGGAGAAGAGAGGATGCGAGGAGAAGAGAGGATGCGAGGAGATGAGAGGATGCGAGGAGAAGAGAGGATGCGAGGAGAAGAGAGGATGCGAGGAGATGAGAGGATGCGAGGAGAAGAGAGGATGCGAGGAGATGAGAGGATGCGAGGAGAAGAGAGGATGCGAGGAGATGAGAGGATGCGAGGAGAAGAGAGGATGCGAGGAGAAGAGAGGATGCGAGGAGATGAGAGGATGCGAGGAGATGAGAGGATGCGAGGAGAAGAGAGGATGCGAGGAGAAGAGAGGATGCGAGGAGATGAGAGGATGCGAGGAGATGAGAGGATGCGAGGAGAAGAGAGGATGCGAGGAGAAGAGAGGATGCGAGGAGAAGAGAGGATGCGAGGAGAAGAGAGGATGCGAGGAGAAGAGAGGATGCGAGGAGAAGAGAGGATGCGAGGAGAAGAGAGGATGCGAGGAGAAGAGAGGATGCGAGGAGATGAGAGGATGCGAGGAGATGAGAGGATGCGAGGAGAAGAGAGGATGCGAGGAGATGAGAGGATGCGAGGAGATGAGAGGATGCGAGGAGAAGAGAGGATGCGAGGAGAAGAGAGGATGCGAGGAGAAGAGAGGATGCGAGGAGATGAGAGGATGCGAGGAGAAGAGAGGATGCGAGGAGAAGAGAGGATGCGAGGAGATGAGAGGATGCGAGGAGAAGAGAGGATGCGAGGAGATGAGAGGATGCGAGGAGAAGAGAGGATGCGAGGAGAAGAGAGGATGCGAGGAGAAGAGAGGATGCGAGGAGAAGAGAGGATGCGAGGAGAAGAGAGGATGCGAGGAGATGAGAGGATGCGAGGAGAAGAGAGGATGCGAGGAGAAGAGAGGATGCGAGGAGAAGAGAGGATGCGAGGAGATGAGAGGATGCGAGGAGAAGAGAGGATGCGAGGAGAAGAGAGGATGCGAGGAGAAGAGAGGATGCGAGGAGAAGAGAGGATGCGAGGAGAAGAGAGGATGCGAGGAGATGAGAGGATGCGAGGAGATGAGAGGATGCGAGGAGATGAGAGGATGCGAGGAGATGAGAGGATGCGAGGAGAAGAGAGGATGCGAGGAGAAGAGAGGATGCGAGGAGAAGAGAGGATGCGAGGAGATGAGAGGATGCGAGGAGAAGAGAGGATGCGAGGAGAAGAGAGGATGCGAGGAGATGAGAGGATGCGAGGAGATGAGAGGATGCGAGGAGAAGAGAGGATGCGAGGAGATGAGAGGATGCGAGGAGATGAGAGGATGCGAGGAGAAGAGAGGATGCGAGGAGAAGAGAGGATGCGAGGAGAAGAGAGGATGCGAGGAGAAGAGAGGATGCGAGGAGAAGAGAGGATGCGAGGAGAAGAGAGGATGCGAGGAGAAGAGAGGATGCGAGGAGAAGAGAGGATGCGAGGAGAAGAGAGGATGCGAGGAGAAGAGAGGATGCGAGGAGAAGAGAGGATGCGAGGAGATGAGAGGATGCGAGGAGAAGAGAGGATGCGAGGAGAAGAGAGGATGCGAGGAGAAGAGAGGATGCGAGGAGAAGAGAGGATGCGAGGAGAAGAGAGGATGCGAGGAGAAGAGAGGATGCGAGGAGAAGAGAGGATGCGAGGAGATGAGAGGATGCGAGGAGAAGAGAGGATGCGAGGAGAAGAGAGGATGCGAGGAGATGAGAGGATGCGAGGAGAAGAGAGGATGCGAGGAGAAGAGAGGATGCGAGGAGAAGAGAGGATGCGAGGAGAAGAGAGGATGCGAGGAGAAGAGAGGATGCGAGGAGAAGAGAGGATGCGAGGAGAAGAGAGGATGCGAGGAGAAGAGAGGATGCGAGGAGAAGAGAGGATGCGAGGAGAAGAGAGGATGCGAGGAGAAGAGAGGATGCGAGGAGATGAGAGGATGCGAGGAGAAGAGAGGATGCGAGGAGAAGAGAGGATGCGAGGAGAAGAGAGGATGCGAGGAGAAGAGAGGATGCGAGGAGATGAGAGGATGCGAGGAGAAGAGAGGATGCGAGGAGATGAGAGGATGCGAGGAGATGAGAGGATGCGAGGAGATGAGAGGATGCGAGGAGATGAGAGGATGCGAGGAGAAGAGAGGATGCGAGGGAATGAGAGGATGCGAGGAGAAGAGAGGATGCGAGGAGAAGAGAGGATGCGAGGAGAAGAGAGGATGCGAGGAGATGAGAGGATGCGAGGAGAAGAGAGGATGCGAGGAGAGAGAAGATGCGAGGAGATGAGGGATGCGAGGAGAAGAGAGGATGCGAGGAGAAGAGAGGATGCGAGGAGAAGAGAGGATGCGAGGAGATGAGAGGATGCGAGGAGAAGAGAGGATGCGAGGAGAAGAGAGGATGCGAGGAGAAGAGAGGATGCGAGGAGATGAGAGGATGCGAGGAGAAGAGAGGATGCGAGGAGAAGAGAGGATGCGAGGAGAAGAGAGGATGCGAGGAGAAGAGAGGATGCGAGGAGAAGAGAGGATGCGAGGAGAAGAGAGGATGCGAGGAGAAGAGAGGATGCGAGGAGATGAGAGGATGCGAGGAGAAGAGAGGATGCGAGGAGATGAGAGGATGCGAGGAGATGAGAGGATGCGAGGAGAAGAGAGGATGCGAGGAGAAGAGAGGATGCGAGGAGAAGAGAGGATGCGAGGAGAAGAGAGGATGCGAGGAGAAGAGAGGATGCGAGGAGAAGAGAGGATGCGAGGAGATGAGAGGATGCGAGGAGAAGAGAGGATGCGGGAGAGAGGAGGATGCGAGGAGAAGAGAGGATGCGAGGAGATGAGAGGATGCGAGGAGAAGAGAGGATGCGAGGAGAAGAGAGGATGCGAGGAGAAGAGAGGATGCGAGGAGATGAGAGGATGCGAGGAGAAGAGAGGATGCGAGGAGAAGAGAGGATGCGAGGAGAAGAGAGGATGCGAGGAGAAGAGAGGATGCGAGGAAAAGAGGATGCGAGGAGGAGAGAGGATGCGAGGAGAAGAGAGGATGCGAGGAGATGAGAGGATGCGAGGAGAAGAGAGGATGCGAGGAGAAGAGAGGATGCGAGGAGAAGAGAGGATGCGAGGAGATGAGAGGATGCGAGGAGAAGAGAGGATGCGAGGAGAAGAGAGGATGCGAGGAGAAGAGAGGATGCGAGGAGAAGAGAGGATGCGAGGAGAAGAGAGGATGCGAGGAGAGGAGGAGGAGGAAGAGAGGATGCGAGGAGAAGAGAGGATGCGAGGAGAAGAGAGGATGCGAGGAAGAAGGATGCGAGGAGAAGAGAGGATGCGAGGAGAAGAGAGGATGCGAGGAGAAGAGAGGATGCGAGGAGAAGAGAGGATGCGAGGAGAAGAGAGGATGCGAGGAGAAGAGAGGATGCGAGGAGAAGAGAGGATGCGAGGAGATGAGAGGATGCGAGGAGAAGAGAGGATGCGAGGAGAAGAGAGGATGCGAGGAGATGAGAGATGCGAGGAGAAGAGAGGATGCGAGGAGATGAGAGGATGCGAGGAGATGAGAGGATGCGAGGAGAAGAGAGGATGCGAGGAGAAGAGAGGATGCGAGGAGAAGAGAGGATGCGAGGAGAAGAGAGGATGCGAGGAGATGAGAGGATGCGAGGAGATGAGAGGATGCGAGGAGAAGAGAGGATGCGAGGAGAAGAGAGGATGCGAGGAGAAGAGAGGATGCGAGGAGAAGAGAGGATGCGAGGAGAAGAGAGGATGCGAGGAGATGAGAGGATGCGAGGAGAAGAGAGGATGCGAGGAGAAGAGAGGATGCGAGGAGAAGAGAGGATGCGAGGAGAAGAGAGGATGCGAGGAGAAGAGAGGATGCGAGGAGAAGAGAGGATGCGAGGAGAAGAGAGGATGCGAGGAGATGAGAGGATGCGAGGAGAAGAGAGGATGCGAGGAGAAGAGAGGATGCGAGGAGAAGAGAGGATGCGAGGAGATGAGAGGATGCGAGGAGAAGAGAGGATGCGAGGAGAAGAGAGGATGCGAGGAGAAGAGAGGATGCGAGGAGATGAGAGGATGCGAGGAGAAGAGAGGATGCGAGGAGAAGAGAGGATGCGAGGAGAAGAGAGGATGCGAGGAGAAGAGAGGATGCGAGGAGAAGAGAGGATGCGAGGAGAAGAGAGGATGCGAGGAGAAGAGAGGATGCGAGGAGAAGAGAGGATGCGAGGAGAAGAGAGGATGCGAGGAGAAGAGAGGATGCGAGGAGAAGAGAGGATGCGAGGAGATGAGAGGATGCGAGGAGAAGAGAGGATGCGAGGAGAAGAGAGGATGCGAGGAGAAGAGAGGATGCGAGGAGATGAGAGGATGCGAGGAGAAGAGAGGATGCGAGGAGAAGAGAGGATGCGAGGAGATGAGAGGATGCGAGGAGAAGAGAGGATGCGAGGAGAAGAGAGGATGCGAGGAGAAGAGAGGATGCGAGGAGAAGAGAGGATGCGAGGAGAAGAGAGGATGCGAGGAGATGAGAGGATGCGAGGAGAAGAGAGGATGCGAGGAGAAGAGAGGATGCGAGGAGAAGAGAGGATGCGAGGAGAAGAGAGGATGCGAGGAGAAGAGAGGATGCGAGGAGAAGAGAGGATGCGAGGAGAAGAGAGGATGCGAGGAGATGAGAGGATGCGAGGAGAAGAGAGGATGCGAGGAGAAGAGAGGATGCGAGGAGATGAGAGGATGCGAGGAGATGAGAGGATGCGAGGAGAAGAGAGGATGCGAGGAGAAGAGAGGATGCGAGGAGATGAGAGGATGCGAGGAGATGAGAGGATGCGAGGAGAAGAGAGGATGCGAGGAGAAGAGAGGATGCGAGGAGATGAGAGGATGCGAGGAGAAGAGAGGATGCGAGGAGAAGAGAGGATGCGAGGAGATGAGAGGATGCGAGGAGAAGAGAGGATGCGAGGAGAAGAGAGGATGCGAGGAGAAGAGAGGATGCGAGGAGAAGAGAGGATGCGAGGAGAAGAGAGGATGCGAGAGATGAGGAGATGCGAGGAGAAGAGAGGATGCGAGGAGAAGAGAGGATGCGAGGAGAAGAGAGGATGCGAGGAGAAGAGAGGATGCGAGGAGAAGAGAGGATGCGAGGAGAAGAGAGGATGCGAGGAGAAGAGAGGATGCGAGGAGAAGAGAGGATGCGAGGAGAAGAGAGGATGCGAGGAGAAGAGAGGATGCGAGGAGATGAGAGGATGCGAGGAGATGAGAGGATGCGAGGAGAAGAGAGGATGCGAGGAGATGAGAGGATGCGAGGAGATGAGAGGATGCGAGGAGAAGAGAGGATGCGAGGAGATGAGAGGATGCGAGGAGAAGAGAGGATGCGAGGAGATGAGAGGATGCGAGGAGAAGAGAGGATGCGAGGAGATGAGAGGATGCGAGGAGAAGAGAGGATGCGAGGAGAAGAGAGGATGAGGGAGATGAGAGGATGCGAGGAGAAGAGAGGATGCGAGGAGATGAGAGGATGCGAGGAGAAGAGAGGATGCGAGGAGATGAGAGGATGCGAGGAGAAGAGAGGATGCGAGGAGAAGAGAGGATGCGAGGAGAAGAGAGGATGCGAGGAGAAGAGAGGATGCGAGGAGAAGAGAGGATGCGAGGAGAAGAGAGGATGCGAGGAGAAGAGAGGATGCGAGGAGAAGAGAGGATGCGAGGAGATGAGAGGATGCGAGGAGATGAGAGGATGCGAGGAGATGAGAGGATGCGAGGAGAAGAGAGGATGCGAGGAGAAGAGAGGATGCGAGGAGATGAGAGGATGCGAGGAGATGAGAGGATGCGAGGAGAAAGAGGATGCGAGGAGAAGAGAGGATGCGAGGAGATGAGAGGATGCGAGGAGAAGAGAGGATGCGAGGAGATGAGAGGATGCGAGGAGAAGAGAGGATGCGAGGAGAGAGAGATGCGAGGAAAGAGAGGATGCGAGGAGATGAGAGGATGCGAGGAGAAGAGAGGATGCGAGGAGAAGAGAGGATGCGAGGAGATGAGAGGATGCGAGGAGAAGAGAGGATGCGAGGAGAAGAGAGGATGCGAGGAGAAGAGAGGATGCGAGGAGATGAGAGGATGCGAGGAGAAGAGAGGATGCGAGGAGAAGAGAGGATGCGAGGAGATGAGAGGATGCGAGGAGAAGAGAGGATGCGAGGAGAAGAGAGGATGCGAGGAGATGAGAGGATGCGAGGAGAAGAGAGGATGCGAGGAGAAGAGAGGATGCGAGGAGAAGAGAGGATGCGAGGAGAAGAGAGGATGCGAGGAGAAGAGAGGATGCGAGGAGAAGAGAGGATGCGAGGAGAAGAGAGGATGCGAGGAGAAGAGAGGATGCGAGGAGAAGAGAGGATGCGAGGAGAAGAGAGGATGCGAGGAGAAGAGAGGATGCGAGGAGAAGAGAGGATGCGAGGAGAAGAGGAATGCGAGGAGAAGAGAGGACGCGAGGAGAAGAGAGGATGCGAGGAGATGAGAGGATGCGAGGAGATGAGAGGAGCATGAGGTGCCACAGAGCAGCGCTCGCCACCCATGGCGTGTGACTCCCGCCACACACTGCCGCATCTACATGCAGAGAAGAGAGGATGTGAGGAGAAGAGAGGATGCGAGGAGAAGAGAGGATGCGAGGAGAAGAGAGGATGCGAGGAGAAGAGAGGATGCGAGGAGAAGAGAGGATGCGAGGAGATGAGAGGATGCGAGGAGATGAGAGGAGCATGAGGTGCCACAGAGCAGCGCTCGCCACCCATGGCGTGTGACTCCCGCCACACACTGCCGCATCTACGTGCAGGGAGGTGGAGAGGGGCATGCAGGGGAGGAGAGGGGCGCAGAGGGGTGCAGAAGATGGGTATGAGGGGTCCACGCCATAACCATCACCGCCCCCATGCCCACCCCACCCCACCCCCACCCACCTATCCCACCCTGACCCACACCATCCTAAACCCAACCCAACCCACCCCACCCCGCACTTTGTCACTGGACTGGCTGTTAAGGCCCGGCACCACAATCACAATCGGCACCTGCGACGTGCGCCCCATCACCCCCATCATCCCCATCACCCCCATCATCACCATCACCCCCATCATCCCAATCACCCCCATCATCTCCCCATCATCCTCACAACACACCACTTCACCCCAACCCACTTCATCCCTTGTCACTGGACTGGCTGGTGACCCCCGGCCCGGCACCACAACCACAAATACATATCATCATCCCCATCAACCCCACCCCACCGCACTCCACTGCAACCCACCCCACTCGAGTCCACCCCACCCCACCGCATCCCACCCCTCACCTTGTCACTGGACTGGCTGGTAAGCCCCTTCACCACAATCACAATGGGCACAGCCCCATCATCCCCTTCATCCTCAATCCATCCCACTTCACCCCACCCCACCCCACCCCACACCACCGCACCCCGCACCTTATCACTGGACTGGCTGGTAAGCCCCGGCACCACGATCACAATCGGCACCTGCGACGTGCGCTCTGCCCTCCCTCCCGACACCTTCGCCTGTCCGCCTTCTCCTGCCGCCGCTGCACCCTTTCCTTGCCCTTCTCCCTTAGGAGCTGGCAAGTGAAGTTTTGGAGGGAGATGAAGGGGAGAGCGGGAGGGAGGGGGAGAAGGTGGACTCGCATACTTGGATGGGCATCATGGAAGAGGGTGAGGTCCGTGAGGACAGTACGTGGTTCTTGCACGGTTGAAGAGAAAGCAACAAGTGGGAGGGAGGGGGGAACAGCTGACTGGAACAGAGACGGACACATCGGGGAGGGTGGAGGATGGTGGGGGGGACAGACATTTAAATTGACACGAAGCTTTCTGGTCGGCTATCATCCCCCTGCGCCCTCACCACCCCCCTGCACCCCTCACCACCCCCTGCGCCCCTCACCTGATGCTGCAGGCTCTGCCCAGTCGAGGCCAAGGGTGCCACCATCCGGGGTGCGCACCACATGTCTGCGCATTGGGGGGCGGTAAGGTGGCGGTAGGGAGGCGATAGCGGGGGTTGGGGGAGTTAGGAGGGACGATTGGGGGGTAATTTCGGGGGGAGATGGAGGGGGGTGTGCGGTAGGAGTAGGAAAAGAAGGGCTTGGAGGAGAAACGAAGGAGAAAAAGAGAAGAGCACATGACTAAGGGAACGCTATGAGCACAGCACACACACCTGATGTAGGGCAGGGCACATTATGCAGGAGGAAGGAGTTGGACACCTGATGCAGGGAGCAGTCTATAAGCACTCTCACCTGATGCAGGGGCAATTTATGGGCACAGCACACCCACCTGATGTAGGGCACGTGGGGCGTGGGCGCGAGGAAGTGCACGAAGGTGGTCTGAAGATGCGGACTGCAGAGCCACGGCGTGGGCCAGAAGCTGCAGCGGAGGGGAGGGAAGGGGCGCATGGGGACGGACGCATGGGGAGGGGCGCATGAGGGTACACTTGGGGTGCACGAAGGTGGTCTGCAGGCGCGGACTGCACAGCCATGGCGTGGGCCAGAAGCTGCAGCGGTGGAGGGGGGAGGGATGGGGAGGGGGGGGAGGAGCGCATTGGGAAGGGAAGGAAAGGAGCGCATTGAGAGACGAGGGCGGAGGGAGGGGAGTGGAAGGGGAGGGGAAGAAGAGGGGAAGGGGAGGGGAAGGGGGAATGGGAGGGGCGCATGGGGAGGGACGCATGGGAGCACGCGTGGGCGCACGCGGGACAGGACAGGTAGGAGCAGAGTTGAGGACACAGGTACGAGTGCACTGCCACGTGCTTGGCCAGAAACTGGAGGGAGAAAAAAGGGAGGCTTCGAGAGGCTGGGGAGAGGAGGGCAGTAGGACAACGGGGGAATGGAGGGAGGTTGGGGAACTGGGGAAGGACAAACACAGGAAGAGACAGAGGTACAAAAGTAGTCACAGGGGCGTGAAGTAGCGTAACGAAGGCGCATAGCAGGGCTTGATGACTCCGGAAGCGAGTGCCTGGTAACGGATTCGGCACCAGATTTGATTGAATCTGTCACTGATTCGCTCTAAGAGATTTGGTTTAAACCGCCAACGATTCGCTCTTCCAATCTGTTAATGAATCGCTCTACCAGATTCAGTTGACTCCGTCATTGATTGAATCTACCAAATTCAGTTGACTCCGTCAATAATTGAATCTACCAGATTCAGCTGACTCCGTCAATAATTGAATCTACCGGATTCAGTTGACTTCGTCAATGATCTGATCTACCAGATTCGGAAGTGTCCCATTTCCGTCTTCAGTGCGATTTTGCACCTCCCACGCGCCAGCCTGACTTCTCAATTCCCCTCCACTATCCACCATATCACCCCGTACCGCGTTACTTGACCGTCACATCCATGCCCCCAACAAAACGATAGCCGCCACTCACTGTGGAATGCGCATTCGCGCGAATACGGCGCGCGCCACGTTGGATCCGGGGTTGTGCACCACCTTCACCCTATCGCCGACGAACACGTGGCTGACCACGTGCAGGTCGAACCAATTGTAGAGAAACGCCAGCAGCAGCACCCCAAGCGCCGCGAGCAGCAGCCACCACACGAGCGGCGACAGTTGCGACACGGCGAGGACGACGGCGGCGGCGGATTCGAGGAGCCACGGGAGGAAATCTGGCGGAATCGCTATTGCCGAAAAGACGGCCTCGAGAGACGGGAGTGACGTCATCTTGGGGAAGGGAGTCTCGAGGTGTCAGGCGGTCGACGGCGATTCTCGGGTGTTAGGGTGAGCTCCTTCAACGTCGCGGGCTCGCAACGTAGAGTGCGAATGCGTGGATCGCAAGTGCGGCTCAAGGCGAGGGACGGTCGCAGAGCACTGCCGTGCCGTGAGGCAAGAAGGGATTTTTATAGGAATACCGGCTTTATGCTTGCTGCTGGCATGGCAGATTCGGAGTGCACAGCAAAGCCACCGCGTGGTGGGGGACAAGTGGAGGCGAAGTTGAGGCCCAGAATTGTACTTCGAGGTGCGGTGTCGGTACCAATGGAACGGTAGCGAAAGAACCGCGACGGGTTACGAAGAGGATAAGTGAAGAATGTAACAATGCATATAAAGTTTCCATCAGTCTACTTACAGCATGAATGAAGCTCCAACCATTTTTGTAGAATGATTTTTATACAGGTAAATTCTATTATAAAATGCGCTAAAATAGACTTAAAAATATTTTCAGTAAATTATATCTCATCTGCTTATTCTAAGGTTAGATTTCTTTCTGGAACCACAGGTTGCTTACCGGCATATCTAACAAGAGAGTTTTATGTCTGAACAATTTGTATAACGCGCCTGACACAAAGCAATGAGGCGCGCCGTCATCGTGACCAGGGCTGACGATTCAAGGGCAAATGCCCTTAATGCCCTGAACATTAAGGGCTGGGTTCGTCCTAGCTTCTGACTTTTAAGGACTGGCTTTGAGGGCAGCCCGTCCCCGTAAAGTGCTGGTTGTGGGCCTAGCCCGGATTTCAGTGCAGATCCCGCGGCTAGCCCTTATTGTCCCAAACCAGCACCTCCCTCCCTCCCATTCCCTCACCCGTAACCCCACCTCATCCCAGCCACTTCCCCCAATAGGACATAGCGCTAAGACCCGCAAGCCAGCTACTTAACGTAGTTCTTGATGTGGTTAACATCGGGCTCCTCATAGGTTTCTTCAGGCTGACATCCAAGAAGGACGTGACAAGTAACTTTCTCCGAATAATGTAGGTTTTCCTTAGCGGAAGTGCAAGAAAGCTGGTAGCCCTGATTTCAAGTGCTAGGTTAGCTCTCAGCCCGTAAATTTCAGGGCAACTTTTGGGGCACCTCAGCCTCTCAAGTTCTGGCTCCAAACCAATCGACAGCCCTGATCGTGACCCCGAAAAGCACTCGAGTGGATGCCCTGCCGCATTCCCGCCAAATCCACCTCCCACCCACACCACTTCCCTCTATGTGCTGTTTTAGTAGACGTCACGGGGACGCTCTGTAATCAGTGTGCTATTTACGAGCTCCGCAAACAGTTAGACACTAGGGCTTGAAGTTCTAAGTAAGCCGCCTCGTCGATTTCTTCAAGGTGAGATGTATGGCGAGCACGGAAGCATCGTGTTTGCCGCTGAGGATCATTAGTTACTACTCGGTGCGAACTTTACTTTCCGCAACCTCGTAGCGTTAATCGATAAACTGAGATGAAACGAGTAGGCCGCGTTGCTGAAGCTGGTGGTCCAGGCAATAAGCACGAATAGTTACGCGGCGAGGAAAATTATGCAAGTGCATGCTGCGAAACTGCGAGTGATTGAGAGTTCGAGAGTACATGGGAGAATCGCATGTTTCGCTGGTGTCAACGCGATTTTAGGTCAAGGAAACGAGAGAATCAAATACTTGTTCCCGTTGACTATTTTGAAGCAAGCAATCACGGGGCGCCGCGGTAATAGGCCGTTCGAACAGAAAAAGAAACCAGTCGTGCACGGCTTTAACGTTTTGTTCTGATCCTGTTGTGCATCCCCTCTTCTTCTCTTCCATCGCCCCACCATGTGACAGCGACAAGCAACAGCGTGTGGTTACCAGCATGGAGAGGAAGCAGCAGGTGCTGGGGTTCGCCCAGAGGAAGCCAGTGGGGGAGCGGCAGGGTGGCAAGCATGGCATTGCGAGCAGCAAGCAGACAGACTGGAAGGCCGCGGAGGAGCCTGGCAGGGAGGTGCAGAACGGTGAGTTGTCCTGGCAGTGAGGTGCAGAAAGGTGAGTCACGGCAGTACATCGGTGGGGATCACCTGTTGTTTCACATCCTACTCCTGTCTCATTTTCTCCCTCATCCAAGTTCCATCCCCTTCCGTTTCCGTCACAAATATCTTCAAAGCGTTTCCACATGGGCACGGCATATGTCACCTTTACGAATTACTTCACCTGCCTCTCTTTCCCATCCACCTGTGTTCCCACCCCACCTCCACCCAACCTCCTGTTCTCTCCAGACGCCATTATTGCACCACCACAGGAGCCTGCAGAGCAGGCGGAGCAGGCAGAGCAGGCGGAGCGCGCCTTACAGCTGTTTGACATGGACATGGTGTTCGGCCCCTGCACTGGCGCGTTCAAGTTTCAACCCATCATTGTATCAATCCGCACACTCCGCCCTGTCTCCCCATCTTCCCTTCCTCTACAGAGGTCATCGTCACACCAACCCACGAACAGGCAGAGCAGGCAGAGCGTGCTCTGCAGCTGTTTGACATGGACATGGCGTTTGGCCCCTGCACTGGCCTCTCCCGCATGGAGCGTTGGCAGCGCGCTAACCGGTTGGGGCTCAACCCCCCGCCCCACGTGCGAGCGCTGCTGGAATCTGCCTCGTGTCGTGAAGACAGCGTCTGGGAGGGCAGGGTGTGAGAGGGGGGTGGGGGGTGAGCATAGCTGCATGGGTGCAAGGCATTAGATTGTTGCGGTGGGGTCTCCCTTATGGAGGGTTGTGATCGGGCTAGCCGGTTGGGGCTCAAACCCACCCACCCCCCTCCCCCCTCCTCCCCCCCCCCCCCCCCGTGCGAGCGCTGCTGGAGTGTGCTTCGTGCCGTGAAGATAGCGCCTGGGAGGGCAGGGTGTGAGTGGGGTGGGTGAGCATAGCTGCATGGGTGCATGGATTGGTGGGTGGTGGATGGCTGCATGGGTGCATGGGTCCGTGGCCTGTGGGTGCGTGGGTGCGTGGGTGCATGGGTGCATAGCCGCATGACATCTGGTTGCAGCGGGGGTCCTGCCCGCTGGGTTAGGCTGGGAGGGAGCAAGCAGTCTAGGCCTGAAGCCTCTCCTTCACATCTGAGCGCTTCGGAGGCTGGATGCAAGGGCGAGGGGTGAATTTGTGTGAGGGTGGGGAATGCGTGTGTGTGTGAGTGGGATGGGCAAGTGTGCGAGTTTGGATGAGTGCGTATGAGCACTATGTAATGTATGTTCACCATGAGCGTTGTTCTGGAATGCTATACACTGCTAAAAAACCCTATGGTATGTTTTGTTGACTAACGGTTTTACTACCGGAATCTACGGGTGTCCTACCGGTAGTAGTGGCCAACGGTGAAAGCCAGTCTCTTCTAGGTACCAAGTATATATTTTTTTTCCAACAGGCTGTTCAAAATTGTTCACAATTTTCCAACTTCCACAACAAAAAATCCAAAAATTGCAGTCGATATTTCCCAAATAGTTTTTTTTTTTTTTCGTACATTTTGAAAATTTACCGTTTGTTTTTACAAATGCAACAGAAACATGATTGACAAATGCATGTTAGGACGCGGCACCTCTAGGGAGGAACCACGATCGACCCTGGGTGGGGATCGAGCCTGGCTTGTAGAGTAAAATCGCGACTTCGCCAACCTGCTGGTATCTGATTTCGCCCTAACTCGCAAGTGTACAGTAAATTCGTGCCCAAAATGCTGGCACCTCTGGCTCGCACGATCGATGTGCCAGCGCCCACACATCGATCGTGAAAATGTGGAGATCGGGCAGTTTTGCCCCAGGTATTTTCGATCCTCACCTGTGGCTCGGTGTGTCCAGGCGATTGCAATTTTGCAGTGTGGACACATCGGTGTGCCGATCGATGTGCCTAAACCGGTGTGAGGCCCCGATCCCCCCTCGATCCTGGAAATGTCCTTAGAGGTGCCGCGTCCTTATGTCATTTTATTGTACTTCACAGAACAGGTTCTTAAAGCCGGCAGCCCAAATTGCACAAGTTTTAAAAGGTTGACGCGAGGGGGTTTTTGTGGTGAGGGTTTTGGCGAAAGATTCCGATTTCGCTTTTTTCGTTTTTTTTCGCCAAACCCAGCCCGCCCTCGTATTTCGCCCTGGGGGTTGGTTCAGTTCCCAAAAGTCCCAAATTGCAGGCACGCTTTTCTTCAAACCTTGAAAACACTAGTTCGTCAAGTTTTAAAAGCTTGACCCGCGCGGCCCGCAATTTGGGACTCGGGCTTTAAAAAAAAGGAGCCAAAATGGAATCGGCGGTGATCGTTGGATCACAAACAGTGATTTGAGCCGCTCAACAAGGGAAGCTTGTGCCTGCGCGAATTGGCAAAGAAAGGATGTGGCGAGGCGAAATGAAAGGTTCATACGGCTGCTGTTTGCTTGCGCGGTTCGGAAGTCTGCGCCGGCAGTCGAATGAACCTTTTCAATTGAGTTGGATTAGATCAGCTATTTAGATCTGGTTACCTAAGAAAAGGCATCCTCCCTGTAGGCTCCATAGCAGTAGGAGTTACTTGCGATCAGGCCACTCAATTTGGGTCTCGCGTCTTATCTTGATCGGTTAGCGTTTCCTGCGGTGGCAAGATGGCTACAGCAAGCGCTCCTATCGTTTGGAAGGAGGCCCTCAGCGTGAGTAGGAAAGATTGAAAGGTAGTTTTTGTGTAGATCGACCAGGAGAGACTGATCCGTTTCATGTGTTTTAACTGCGCGGCGCTTTGCTGGTAAAATTAGGTTCTTAAGGTGGACTGTTACTGAACGACTTTTGAGTTTTACGACATGGGCCATTTTCCCCACCGTATCTCCTTGTGCAGTTGACAAATCTGGGGGTCAATCAACGGTTCATTAGCTTCACTCATGTCACGATGGAGTCCGAAAAGTATATCTGTGTCAGGGAAACGGCTCCGTCGAACAACGTTGTCATCATTGACATGGCGATGCCAATGCAGCCTATGAGGAGGCCTTTCGTTGCTGACTCAGCATTGATGAATCCTGAAAGCAAAATCTTGGCGCTCAAGGGTCAGTTCGCTGCTACAGAAGTTCGTGCTTACGTTTGAGGATGTTTGGGTTCGGATTTCTTAGACATATCGGTCTGAACGTGCAGCTTTGAGTCAAGGGACTAATCACTTGCAGATTCTCAACATCGAGGCTAGGGCTAAAATCAAATCGTATCGGATGCCAGAGGAGGTCAGCACCAGATCACAGTTGCATCTGCCATCAGTTTGAAAATCTTTACTGACAGACTGCTCTCTCGCTCTTTCCAGGTTGTGTACTGGAAGTGGATCTCCAACAAAGTCCTCGGCCTCGTAACGCTGACATCTGTTTACCACTGGTCGATCGAAGGTTTGTAGTTCTAGACTGCATCATCTGCCAACCTTTTCACAATCACAATTCTCCTGAATCAACATAGGCAAGCTTTTGCAGCGAAGATGCAGTGCTGAGACTTTTCTATTCCCTTTTCTTTTTGTCGCGACCAGGAGAGGGAGCGCCTGTTAAGATGTTTGAGCGTGCAGCAAATTTGAACGGTAATCAGATAATCAACTACCGGAGTGATCCCTCTGTCAAATTTCTTGCTTTGATCGGCATCGCCCCTGGTGCTCCTGAGGTATGCAGAAAGTCCTGCCCTTTAAAGTAATCAGAAGTCGCGAAAATGGTTCCTGATGATGTTTGTCTTGGTGTTTGCTTGCAGCGTCCACAACTCGTCAAGGGAAATATGCAGCTCTTTTCCGTGGATGAGCAAAAGAGTCAGGCATTGGAAGCGCACGTAGCTGCGTTTGCCTCTGTGAAGGTCTCTGTAATCCTTTCACAAGATATTGTACATTGAGCGCATGTGAAGTTTTTGGATTGTTAAGCAAGTACTCAACTGTCTGTGATCTCGCAGGTGCCAGGAAACGACACTCCTTCCCTTGTCATTGCGTTTGCCGCCAAGACTATCGCTGGCGGACAGCTCATTTCGAGGATGCATATTATTGAGCTTGGTGCTCAGCCAGGTCAGCGAATCTCTATTTTCGTACGAGATTAGGATGTCTCAGAATATATTGGTTTAGCTGATATACGCCTGGTTGTTCTGTTGCAGGTCGCGTTCCTTTCACAAAGAAGCAGGCCGACCTGTTTTTCCCGTCAGCTTTCGCCGATGACTTTCTGATCGCCATGCAGGTGAGGAAGCTTGCGATCAATGCTTAACCCCACAAACAATTCCGACTCTCCCCACTTCTGCTGCTCAACCCCCTTGTCCGCCTCCCGTGTTCGCCCGCCGCCCTTTACCCTTTCCCCCCTCATTCAGGTGTCAGCGAAGAAGAAGAAGGGGCTGCAGCAGGTGCTGCAGCAGTAGCACCACCACCACTAGCAGCAGCAGAAGGTGCAGCAGCAGGTGCTCCAGCAGTAACACCACCACCATCAGCAGTAACAGAAAGGGCAGCAGCAACCGCTGCAGCAGCAGCAGCACCACCACCACCACCATCAGCAGCAGCAGCAGCAGCAGCAGGTGCAGCAGCAGCAGCAGCAGCAGCACCATCAGCAGTAGCAGAAGGGGCAGCAGCTGCTGCTGCAGCGGCTGCAGTAGCAGCAGCACCACCACAATCAGCAGCAGCAGAAGGGGCAGCGGCAGGTGCTGCAGCAGTAGCACGACCACCATCAGCAGTAACAGAAAGGGCAGCAGCAGCTGCTGCAGCAGCAGCACCACCACAGCAGCAGCAGCAGCAGCAGCAGCAGCACGAAGGGGGCGAAGCGCAGGTGTTGTGGTAGAGAAGGAAGTAGCAGAGCCATATATTTGTCGAGAATACTCGCTGGCAGAGCTAACCGAGGCTACAGGACATTGGGCTGAGGGGAACACGATAGGAAATGGTGGCTTTGGGGATGTCTACAAGGGTGTTTCTCCCCGCGATTGCAATCAAGCTTGGGCAGTCAAGCGAGCTCGAGTGCTGACAAACGACTTCCAAAGAGAGGTAAGTCAGCTTTGAAAATCCTAGACATCAGAATTGTTTCAAGAGAGGTATCATGTTCTGGGTTTTGGTTGGTACCACGTCCTGTGCTGGTTTCTTGTGCCAAGTCCCATCACTTGATTGTTCATTGGATTGTTCCTTCTCCTTTCATCTGTTCACCATCATTTCCCCCCCCTCAGGTGAAATGGATGGCAAGCAAGCACCATCCGCATCTCGTGCGTCTGTTGGGCTACTGCATCGACTTTGACCCGTCCACACGAAACATGGAACAAATTCTCGTATATGAGCTCATGCCCAACGGTGACCTTGCTAGCTGGATTGGCCCCGGTGTCTCCAGCCCTCTTTCGCTGCAACAACGGCTGGACGTTCTGATTGGAGTGGCCAAGGGGTTGCAGTATCTTCACGACTTCAAGATTGTGCATCGCGACATCAAGCCGGCCAACATTCTCCTTGATGGGAAAATGCAGGCATGCTCAAAACTGTGAAGCTGGGTTGCATGTGAAAGAAGGTGCTTTGTTCATCCGTCTTGTTCATCCTTTTCAGCCATCATGTGATTTTTTGAACAGCCCAGCATAGAGTCGGTGACGTCACCTAATCTCCCGTTGCATGATGATGCTGTTGTGGTTGATGATGGGCAGGCAAAGGTTGCGGACTTTGGGCTTGTGAAGCTGCTTGGAGGGACATCTGTGGCCATATCTGAGGCTGCCACTCGGCTGGTGGGAACACTGGGCTATATGGACCCTGAATACTGCAGCTCACACAAGCCTTCTCCTGCTGTTGATGTGTACAGGTGAGTAGATTGGCACAACACAGGTAAACACACTGGTGCATGTCAGAAGATTGATGCAGATTAGCAGATTGGGTCGAAATAACCATCCAACAGGCATCTTATGTTTGTGAGAATTCTTTGGATTTTTTTACCTTCACCGTGTTTTTTTGCCTCGTTTCATAGTGGCTGTTCACGGCTGTCATTTGAGGAATGCATCGGCATGCCTGACCAATCAAAGGCTCTGAGATTCTCGGCCACTTAACGATGGGGGTTTGGGACACAAGTGGTTGTGAAGGTCATATTAATCATGATGGATTTTTCTATGGAAATTGTCCAATGCATTTTCAAGTGTGTCACATGTAAGCATCGTTTCACAAATGATGTCCTTTTTGGTTGCCTTGATTGCAGTTTTGGTGGCGTGGTGATGCCAGTGGTCGTCATGGGGAGCGAGGCTGTGCTTGTGATAAAATATATTTTCTTTGATGATGCCCTTATGCTCGGCTTGCAGTTTTGGCGTGGTGATGCTGGTGGTTCTAACGGGGCACAAGGCTGTGCTTGTTATAGAGGACGATCACGTCAATATCAAGAGATGGGTGAGACACAGGTCACAATGGGTGAGACACAGGTCACAATGGGTGAGGTGTACCTCAGAATGGAATACAAAGCTTAGAAAACGTCCAAATGGGGTACTAACACCATCTTTCGTAAGTCCAAGTGCATTACCGCAACCAGACACAATAAAAAGGTTTCTAACACCTTGACCAGAAATATGTGGGCTGGTTCATCCTCCCTTTCTGGTCACATGAACCAGCCTACACGTTTCTGGCCTATGCTCTATTGGGCAAGGCGAGTATGACGATGATAAACTCTCAAGTCTTGTTTCACCTTGCACGTGTCAGTCACACAATCAGCTTGCCTATCCTAGCTGTCTACCTTGTTGCTTCTCTCCCTAGCGCATGTTGCTCCTCTCACACAAACCGCTCACCCTTATTTCAAACTACTCACCCATCCCATGTGTCTATATCCTTCTCGGTAATACAACTTTTTCCTGTCACCTATTGTACTCTTATACCAGTATTGACAGACTTGCTCTTCATGCAACACTCCTGGAAAAAGAAAAAAGAGAAACTTTTTTTCCGTATGCCATATCCTTTCAACCTGGCAGGTAGCCCCACTGGTGATCTCAGGAGCAGTGGCAGAATTCAAGGACCCTCACTTGGAAGCACCGGATGATGTGGTGCTGCGCTTGGCTCGCCTTGCCCTCTCGTGCACTGCTCTGCCTGGGGTTTTCCGTCCCTCCATGCTCCAAGTGCTGGCTGAGCTGGTGAGGATAAAGCAGGAGACGTTTGGGGTGCAGGTGAGCGCGGAGGTTTCTGGCATCGACACGGAAATTGGAGGTTCTGATGGCCCCTTGGACTTCAGTGCTGAAATGGCCCGTGCGATGCGAGAGGCTGTTAGTGGCTCCTCAACTAGAATGCCGTAGGATAGGAGTAGAACATGCACCACCTTTGAAAAAGTCCACAGTGAAAATGCCACAATTGTACGTCATGTGCTGCTGCTACACTGGTACTCCTCCATAATAAAGCCATGGTTTTGTGTGCCTTTGTATTTAGTGCATGGAAAGGAGGGAGACTGGGTGGGGAGCTGGCCATGCGAGAGTCAGCAGTAGCATATGAGGGATGTGAGGGATACCAGTAGCATATAGGGAGGTACATGGATGCAGCTTAAGAGGGATACCATCTTGGGAGATGCATTGGGAGACAATGCACCTGCTGGCAAATACATATTCTTTGTCTATTGCACTATGGCATTCTAACACCCAGACTGTTCAGTCTTGTTTAAACCGATGCAAGAAGTCCACTCTAGCCCTCAGCTCCTGCAGTAGCATGGACTCTGCTCCTTCGCTCCATGACCCTGACCACCGGAAGAGTGCCTGGTGTGTGGCAGAATGGCAAGTTGGCAATGGGGACACAAGGCATGGTGAGGTGGCTACACAAGTGGATATGAGTTGATACAACAAAAGCCTATATAACTATTCGCAGATCACACACAGAGGCACACACTTTCACCTGATGCACGCACCTGCATATGCTGCATGAGTTTACATGAGCGTTCATGAATCACACAGAGGCATCCACCAGTTGCACTCCCCTGCTCTTTGCAGCAGGCACCTGCACCTGCTCTACACCCTTCTTCAGCATGGGCACATTTGCCTCCCCCAACCTCGCTCGCATGGATGGCACGTGATGAGGGTCGATGTTGACAGAGAAGGCGTCGCAACCCTCCGTGTCTTACCACACATGCCCCTACTCCTGCTACACGCACCTGCACCTGCTCTACACCCTTCTGCAGCATGGGCACGTCCGCCTTCTCCAGCCTTTCTCTCATCGTCGGCACGTCATCAGGGTCGATGTTGACGGAGAAGGCATCGTAGTTGAGCGTGCCCTGCCACAGGTTGTCGTGCTCTCGGAAAAACGTCACCGGGATGCAACCTGAGATTAGCGCCTGGTGGGTGGCAGGGTTTGGGGGGGAGAGGGGGAGGGTAGAGGAGGGGAAGGAATTTGAGTTGAATCAAGAGTCACCGAGCGAGCACTGCCACGTATTGTCGTGCTCGCGGAAAACGTCACTGGGATGCACCCTGAGATGAGCGCCTGGTGGGTGAATAAGGGGAGGAGGAGGGAAGGAGGAGGGAAGGAGGAGGGGATGAGTGGACTTAGAGTCACTGAGGAGTAACACTGCCACGGATTGTCGGGCTCCCGAAAGAATGTCACTGGGATGCACCCTGAGATGAGCGCCTGGTGGGCGGCAGGTGGGGTAGGGGGGGGAGCGGGTTGGTAAGGGGAGGAGGAAGGAGAGGGGGGAATACTTATGAGTCGACTCGGTAGTGCTGCCAGGGGTTGTCGTGCTCGCGGAAAAACGTCACTGGGATGCACCGTGAGACGAGCGCCTGGTGGGTGGCAGAAGAGGGGGAAGGAGGGAGCAAGGCCCCCAGGATGTGTGCTGGCACGGGTTGTCATGCTCGTGGAGGCACGTCACACCGGGATGCACCCTGAGATGAGCGCATGGTGGGTCACAAAAGCGGGGGGAGGGAAGGGATGTGCGAGAGACTTTTGACCCACCCAATTCATTACCATTGCTGTAGCAACTCGCACCTTGAAGGGGCGGCTGATCCATTGGGAGTGGCCCAGCAATGGATCCATTGGGAGTGGCCCAGCAATGGATCCATTGGGAGTGGCCCAGCAATGGATCCATTGGGAGTGGCCCAGCGATGGATCCATTGGGAGTGGCCCAGCAATGGATCCATTGGGAGTGGCCCAGCAATGGATCCATTGGGAGTGGCCCAGCGATGGATCCATTGGGAGTGGCCCAGCAGATAGCATATTAAGTGGCCGTTGAGAGCAGTTACTACAATATGGTTCCATTATCAGTCATGTAGCAATTCGCACCTTGAAGGGACGGCTGGTCCACTGGGAGTGGCCGGGCGGGCAGATGCAGAAGACGCTGTGCTGCCAGTCCTGGTCCGTCCTCTCCTCGCTCTTGGGGAACATGTCCCACCCCGCTGCCATGTCCTCCTTGGCTGCCTGGGAGGAGGGAGGGTGGGAGAGGAGAGGCGGAGGGGAGTGGAGTGTGTGAAATGCTGCCAGTCTTGGTCCGTCCTCTCCTCGTTCTTTGGAAACATGTCCCACCCCGCTGCCATGTCCGCCTTGGCTGCCTGGGAGAGGAAGGGAGGGGAGAGGAGAGGGGGAGAGGAAGGGGGGAGAGGAGACGGGGGGAGGAGGAGCGTGTGTGAGTTACTGCCAGTCCTGGTCCCTCCTCTCCTCACTCTTTGGAAACATGTCCCATCCCGGTGCCATGTCCGCCATGGCTGCCTGGGATGCATGGAGAGAGGGGGGTGATGAGAGGAGAGGGAGTGGAGAGGAGAGGGAGTGGAGAGAAGAGGGAGTGGAGAGGAGAGGGAGTGGAGAGAAGAGGGAGTGGAGAGGAGAGGGAGTGGAGAGGAGAGGGAGTGGAGAGGAGAGGGAGTGGAGAGGAGAGGGAGTGGAGAGGAGAGGGAGAGCGGAGGAGAGCGTGTGTGTTGGTCCCAGTCATTCTCCTCGCTCTTTGCAAGCATGTCACACCCCGGTGCCATGTCCGTCTTGGCTGACTGGGAAGGAGAGGAGCGAAGGAAAGAGGGGAGGGGGAGGAGAGGGGGAGGAGAGGAGAGTGTGTGTGCTGCTGCCAGTCATGGGCCGTCCTCTCGTTCTTTAGAAACAAGTCCCCCATCGCTGCCATGTCTGCCTTGGCTGTCGGATGAGTGGTTAGAGGGGGAGGCGGAGGAGAGGAAGGAGAGGGGGAGGAGAGGAAGGAGAGGGGGAGGAGAGGAAGGAGAGGGGGAGGAGAGGGGGAGGAGAGGGGGAGGAGAGGGGGAGGAGAGGGGGAGGAGAGGGGGAGGAGAGGGGGGGAGAGAGGGGAGTATGTGATATGGTGGAAAGTCATGGTCGTCTGTCCTCGTGCCGTTTCATGTCAACATGGGCCTCTTGCCATGCACCCTCCTGCCATGCACCCTCCTGCCATGCACCCTCCTGCCATGCATCCTCCTGCCATGCACCGTGCTGCCATGCACCGTGCATGGATGCTATGAGTCCTGAGATTGTGTTTGCCATGTCTACGGCAGGCACGGTGCGCAGAGGAGGAAGGCAGGGTGAGTGAGGGGGGCAAGGGGGGGGAACCCTCAGTGCAAGCAGTGACGGCCCTGAGACGTCCAGTAGCACGTGCTTGTGGGGCAGCGCAGCATGCAGTGCCATCTCACCCTCCTCCTCTTACTTGTATGATTCTGCTGCGCACGTCCAGCAGCACGTCCTTGTGGGGCAGTGCCCGGCGCGCTGACCTGAATGCAGTGCAGTGCGGAATGCTGTGCACCACCTTCTCCCCCCCCCCCCCTCCCACTACGACCCGGCGTCCTTCTCCCTTCTCCCACTGCTGTACACCTGGATGATTCTGCTACGGACGTCCCGTAGCACGTGCTTGTGCGGCGATGTCATGAAGCGGAAGGTAGCCGTCCATTTGCGCGACGAGGCCAGGGGTGACACCTGAACGTGGAGTGCAGTGCAGTGCAGTGCAGTGCAGTGCGGTGCAGGTAGCAAGGCGTGCAATGCAACATGAAGTGCAATCCCCCAAAACTGACCTGAATGATTCTGCTGCGGGTGTCCAGCAGCACATGCTTGTGGGGCGACGCCACGAAGCGGAAAATAGCCGTCCACTTGCGCGGCGTGGCAAAGGGAGAAACGAACGGCACCTGGGCGCGCACGATCACGGGCACGGGGATGTCCCGATCCGCCATGTAGCATGGGATGGAGGGGATGGTGGGGTCGGCTGGTGCGCCGTACTGGTATGATAGGAGCTGCAGGGGCGGAGGGGGGATGAGGGGGGGTGTGTGGATGAAGGTGTGTCCCGATCCGCCATGTAGCATGGGATGGAGGGGATGGTGGGGTCGGCTGGCGTGCCGTATTGATATGAGAGCAGCTGCAGGGTTGGGGGGTGGGGTGAGAGGAAAGTTGTGCGAGGGGAGGATGAAGAGGGGGAGAGGGGAAGATGGGGTGAGACAAAGGTCAGATGGGCACACACGATCACGGGCACGGGGATGTCCCTGTCCGACATGTAGCATGGGATGGAGGGGATGGTGGGGTCTGCTGGTGCACCGTACTTGTATGATAGGAGCTGCAGGGGTGGGGGGGAAGGGCGGAGGGGGGGGTGAGGGGGTGAGGAAGGGAGCGAGATTTAGCGGTGTGGTGTGGGGATGAAGCGATTGCTCTATTGAACAGCTGCAACGGTGAGTGGTGAGGGGGAGGAGGCGGAGCAGGGAGGTTGTGTGGAATGTGGATGTGGCTTGGGAGGGGATGGGAAGGGACGGGAGGGGATGGGAAGGGACGGGAGGGGATTGGAAGGGACGGGAGGGGATGGGAAGGGACGGGAGGGGATGGGAAGGGACGGGAGGGGATGGAGGGAATTGCAAGTTGAGGTATGCATGCATGTCAAAATGAATGGGATGGGACAGAACATTATGACATTGTGGTATGTTACCTGCATGCTCTGCTCAGGTACTTGCATTGCATGTTGAATTTTATGGTACTTATGTGTCGTGTCATGGTGACTTCCCCATAAGTACCTGCATGCTGACGTCGCTACCTGCATGCTGACGTCGCTACCTGCATGCTGACGTCGCTACCTGCATGCTGACGTCGCTACCTGCATGCTGACGTCGCTACCTGCATGCTGACGTCGCTACCTGCATGCTGGGCTACCTACCTGCATGCTGGGCTACCTACCTGCATGCTGGGGTCGCTGCCGGCATGGTCACTGCGCACGAGCTTGTCTCCATTGTACGTGACAAAGAACATCTCGCCCACCAGCCGTGGATCCACAAACGTCAGCGAGTGGCAACGGCCGTGATCAAGTGTCAGGATGCCAAAGTGATCTCGGCCGTTGGTGCGGTTGAAGTAGGGGAAGGTGGTGCGCACAGCTGTCAGGACTTTCGTCCACGCCTGGGGGGTCCCAGGGGGGGGGGGGTGGGGGGGTGGGGGGGAGAGAAATGGGGTTGGGCAATGGTGGAAGGCCGGGCAAGGAAGAGAAACGGGGAGTAGGAGTGAGTGAGAATAGGAAGGCAGTGAAGGTGCAGGTGTGGGCGGGGAGCGGGTGGCAAGCCTTGCCAGAATTGGAAGATTCAAATTTGGCCCGAACTTTGTCACCCGCGTGCGTAGAAGAGGCGCGCATGTGTGGCAAGGCAAGAATGACATGACTTGCATGGCCCAACCAAAGAGGCAGGCAGGCAGGCAGGCAGGCAGGCAGGCAGGCAGGCAGGCAGGCAGGCAGGCAGGCAGGCAGGCAGCCACTACTCTCTGCTCCCGCCCTGCCTCGCTCGCGAGCAATTCGTCCAAAGATTGGCGCATTCTGTGCCGTGCGTGTTTGTTCCTTGAATCGACTGAAGAATCGTCTCTCGGCTCAAAGGTACTAAGCATGGCCGCTGTTCCCAGGAAACTCACAACAGATTCACCACCACCACCTGCTGATGCATCTGCACACGTGGTGTGATACACATGATGATGCTTGTTGGTAACCAAAATAACGTCTCTCTTTGTACACAAGCATGGCTGTCTGCCCTGCCTTACTAGCGATAATTATCGCGCCTCACCACCACCCACCCATGAACTCTTCTCGATGAACTGCCGCATGTTCTTCTGATCGTTATGGAAGAATGAGAAGAGGTAGCGCGGCACATAGAAGGGCACGAGTGTAGGGCTGCTTGCCTTACTACCGAATGCACCTCACTTGACCCACCCGTGAGCTCTTCTCGATGCATTGACGCATGTTCTTCCGATCATTGTGGAAGGAGAAGAGGTACCGTGACACGTAGAACCGAACGGGACAAGTTTAGGGTGCCTTCCTCACTACTAGATGCGCTTCAGTGACTTGACCCACCCGTGAGCTCTTTTCAATGCACTGCCGCATGTTCTTCCGACCGTTGCGGAAGAGCGAAAAGAGGTAGCGTGACAAGTAGAACTAAGGCGCGTGCAATCTGATCGGACACATTCACTCATAAATGCGCCTCATCCACCCACCCGTGAGCTTTTCTCAATACACTGCCGCATGTTCTTCTGACTATTGTGGAAGAATGAGAAGAGGTAGCGCGACACGTAGAAGGGCACGAAGAACAGCGACGCCTGCTCGGGGTCCATGGTGCGCACGGGGTTGTCTGTACGCCTATAAACATCTCCGTTAAGTGCTTCTCCAGGTCGTACTGCTCCGAGTACCACTCCAGATCCAATTTCAGCACCTTAGACGTCAGCTGCTCGCCTAGGTCGTACACATACACGAATGGCCGCGCGGCCACCGCGCCGCCGGCGCTTTCTAGCTCCGTTCCGCCGCTCTCCTGCTCTTCCTGATCGAACAGCTGCACGTGGTGCTTCGATAACCTCTCCTCCTGCTGCTGCGCTTGCTGCTGTGCTTGCTGCTGCTCTTGATTCTGCTTCTGCTTCGTCTGCTGCTTCTTTTCTCTCTTCGCGAATACGCCCCCGCCGCTGAACCCCTGGGCTGCATTCGGGAGGCACTCGATTTGAGCAGGCCTGCCGGCTCCGAGATACGAGTGCAGGAAGTTGTCTTCTAGCGGCCATCGCATCATCAGAAGCACGAACGCGGATAGAACAAGTGCGAATAGTAGGAGTAACGTCAATGTGACTGCGCGAGGGCGCTTATAACGGGGGGAGCCGGGTTCCCGCGAGCCGCAGCAATCTATGGCGGTCCAGAGAGTCGCCTGGCGGTCGCCGCCTCGAGGCGACGACGCTCCAGCGATGCGCGACGACGGCGCGTGCGACGGGACATGCTGTGCGACAATTCGTTTCGTCTTGACCGAGCGCATGGCGGCGTTATCGCCGCCGCCCCCACTGCCAGACGAATCCATTTCGACAGAGCGTGAGGGATTGTAGCGACTGAGGAAGATTTGTAGCGAGCTTTGGCCGCCCAAGAGCGAGTCGGACTTATTCCTAGCCGCCTCGCAGAGACCACTATCGCGGAGCGTGCATTCCGCGAGAACGAGTCAACCTCCACCAGGGCCCAGCAATAACGCGGAAATCAGGAACCGTTTTGAACCCTGAATGGACGTAGTAAACCGCGCTAAGTCGGACAAAAACAGGTCTTTGCCCAAACAAACGTAGTGTAAACAAACCGCCCTGACACGTACAGCATCGCACCCCACCGTAATTTAGAATGTGTGCAAGGCACGACGTTAGGGCGTGGAACGTCCTCGGAAATTCGGTGCGGTTCGTACAGTCACCACTCTAAAACGTACTATAAACTACTGAAACATGGCATTTACTAAATGGACCAATTTTAGCCGTTCAAGCAGAGCGGAACTTCTAGGAGGTGGAAAAGCGAATGTCACTACTTCTTCATGGAGGTGGGCCATCATGCCACTGCTCGGAGTATATTGAACCATTTCAACCGGGTCGAACCCCTAACGTTGCTGAAACATAACATTCACGACTCCGGAGGGATGGAAAAGCGAATGTCGCACAAGTGGTTACCTTCGCACAGCTCCGACCATTTAGGGAAGGCACGTTCTCCAGCACCCATTTGCGTAAGTCACCGTGGATTAGGAATCTCGGTGACTCGGTAAAACTAGGGTTCGGATTCTAATCGCTTACTGGTTACCCTTCTCGGCGACCTGATGACTCCTCGCGTGACCGACCCAGCACCAGCTGCTGACCTCCCCTTTGCGACAGAGTCGCGCACCGGACTTGCCGGCGGGCAATCGGCGGAGGCCGTTGCGGCGGATGGGCGGACAGGCGTGGGAATAGCGGAGGGTAAGCGGCGAGGCGGAGGGGCGGGCGCCTGTTCAACGGGCGCGGCGGATAGTGGGGATGGGGATGACGTGGGGTCGGGGGTTAGCGCGGGTGTAGATTTGCGCCTGGAGAAAGAACCGGACTGTTGCAACTTTCCGTCATCGTCAACTTTTGCGTCAGCGTCCACGTCAACGTCAACGTTAACGTCAGCGTCGGAGTTGTCGTTGGCTCGTCAGACGCAACAGATCGCGTCGCTGGATGGCGAATTTTCGAGAGAGCGGAATGAAAGCGCAGCAGCAGCAGGACGCGACGGGCGTGGTGACGAGGGGGGCCGCCGCGCGCAGCCGCCGCTGATGGGCGGAGCGGCGGGTAGCGCCGCCGGCCCCGCAGGTAGCGGCGGTGACCTCAGCAGCGGCAGCAGCCACAGCAGCAGCAGGGACAGGCATGTGTCGGTGGGAGCACCAGTCGATCGCGATTGTGATGGCGAGAAAAGGATGAGCGGAAGGCGCGGCGGAAACAGCGGCGCCGATAGAGGCGGAAGCCGAGATGGCGGAAGGGGGCGAGGGAGCAGCGCGAAGCGAGCGATAGTGACGCCGTGGGGATCGCTGGTGGAGGAGGCTATGTTGCCGTGTGAGAGAGAGGGGGGGGCGAGGGGGAAGGGAGAGGGGAGGGAGAGGGGGAGGGGGAGGGGGAGGGAGAGTGGGAACTCGGTAAGAGGAGCAGGATGGGGAAGGTGGGGGGGAGGGCACGGGACGAGAAACGGCGGATTCAGTGTGATTCTAAGCAGAGGTGACTCAATCGAAGAGCGTGTGGTGAGGCTGGTAGTGCCATCAAGCGCAGCAGCAGGCGGCGAGCCTATGCCCCCATCAGCAGCCGTGGCTAGAGAGTCAGCACGAGGGGAACACATGCGGTCTGAGCTGGTCCGACCAGCATCATCCGTGTTATCGTCACTATCCTCCTCCCCCTCTGCCTCCTCCGCCTGCTCCTCCCCGCCCAGGCTGTTCTCGTTATGCACTGATTCGATAGTGGCGAACATCCACCATGTTTCGTCGCTGCAGGGCCTTCCTGAAGACATTGTGCTGCTGCTGCTGTGGGTGAGTGCGGGTGCTGCTGTGGGTGAGTGCGGGTGCTGCTGTGGATGATTACTGCTGCTGTGGGTAAGGCGCTGCTGCTGTGGTAATGGCGCGGCTGCCATTCAGGTTTGGGTGCTGTTGCGTAGGGTAGCTTTGGATCTTGCTGGGTGGGTGGATACTCCCCCCAACAGTGTGCCATACCGCCACACCTCCACCCATTGCTGCCCCACCTTTTTTTCCTCTTTTTTTTTTTAACTAATGCCTCACCCACTCCTCCACTTCCCTCCACATCTCTCTCTCTCCTCCCCCCCCCCCCCCCCTCCCGCACTCCCCCACCATCAGCGCACGCTGCAGGGGGACACGCTGACAGAGCAAGTGTCACCGCCCTCTCTCTCCCTCCGCCCCTTCCCCCACCTTCAACCATCAGCGCACGCTGCAGGGGGACACGCTGACAGAGAAAGTGTCACCGCCCTCTCTCTCCCTCCGCCCCTTCCCCCACCTTCAACCATCAGCGCACGCTGCAGGGGGACACGCTGACAGAGCAAGTGTCACCGCCCTCTCTCTCCCTCCGCCCCTTCCCCCACCTTCAACCATCAGCGCACGCTGCAGGGGGACACGCTGACAGAGCAAGTGTCACCGCCCTCTCTCTCCCTCCGCCCCTTCCCCCACCTTCAACCATCAGCGCACGCTGCAGGGGGACACGCTGACAGAGCAAGTGTCACCGCCCTCTCTCTCCCTCCGCCCCTTCCCCCACCTTCAACCATCAGCGCACGCTGCAGGGGGACATGCTGACAGAGCAAGTGTCACCGCCCTCTCTCTCCCTCCGCCCCTTCCCCCACCTTCAACCATCAGCGCACGCTGCAGGGGGACACGCTGACAGAGCAAGTGTCACCGCCCTCTCTCTCCCTCCGCCCCTTCCCCCACCTTCAACCATCAGCGCACGCTGCAGGGGGACACGCTGACAGAGCAAGTGTCACCGCCCTCTCTCTCCCTCCGCCCCTTCCCCCACCTTCAACCATCAGCGCACGCTCCAGAGAGGAAGAGCACTCACGGAGCGAGTGCTGCAGGTGTTCCGGGCAACGCAGCATGCACTGGTGGAGGAGGCGGTGGTGCTGCTGGGACTCACCCACCTCTCCCCTGCGCCCATTCCCCCCCCCCCCTCTTCCCCCATCAGCGCACGCTGCAGAGAGGAGCACTGACAGAGCGGGTGCTGAAGGTGTTCCGGGCGACACAGCATGCACTGGTGGAGGAGGCCGTGGTGCTGCTGGGACTCACCCACCACTCGCCTGCGCCCGTCCTCCCCACTCGTACGTGCCCCACTCTCCCACCTGCGCCCATCCTCCCCCACCATGCTCTCACCATGCTCCCACCATGCTCTCCCCATGCTCTCCCCATGCTCTCACCATGCTCTCACCATGCACCATAGCTACTATCGTGCCGCTTACATTCTCTCGGCTGCCCCCTCCACACTCTCTGCCTCGCTATCCCCTTGTCCCTGTGCAATATTCCACACCCTGCTTGTGCTTCTGCGCTCCTCTTCACTTCCCCCTTGCCCCTCCTCTCCTTCCCCTCATCTCCTCCCGTTCCTCCCCTCACACAACCTCCCATTGCTCTCCTCTCCTCCCTCCCCTATCCACACTGCAGGCTGCACTGACAGCTCCCTCCGCTGACAGCTTAAAGCCACTGATGCCCTCAATGTGTACACACACGCCACACACCCTCCAAATGGGACTCTCATGTTTCTTGATTTTCAATCAGGACTCGCAAGTGCCCCAAAGCACACACGGCCCACTCAATCAGCACTTTACCCTGCTCACTTCTCTTTTTAGGCGTTGAGGCCAAGTGAGCAGGGTAAAGTGCTGTGAGAGCTTGAATTCGCCCACACCTGCTGGGTTCTTGTCAGCAGTAGTGCTGTAGTTGCTCTCAATTCATGATTCCCCGTTTGTAGTTCTCTGATACGGTAAATCTCGTTTGAAAAGTTCTGCAAGTCTAACCATCTCCGCAAGTCCGAAACACTGAATCCCGCTGTTACCGTACCCGCTGTTCTTCAACATGCTAATCTCCAGGCTGTGTGTCATGCTCGTGGCCCACGATGTTAGTGCTACAACTGTGGAGAGGAGAACCATATGGAGAGTACGGTGCCGGTAAAGCGACAACAGTGGATGGAACTATAACACACAAAGCCATATCTTGCCAGCTCCCTCCACTGCACTACACAAACCCACGACATCCACATCATTCCCCTCCACACCACACCACTGCACCCTGTTGGGCTGAGATAGCCCCTTAGGATCTTTTCAGGGGAGAACTCTGGATAGGACAATTGTAATAGCGGAAGCTTTTAGTGAAGTAATTGTGAACCACCTTGCGCTAGTATGTGAGGGCAAAGTAGATTGATTATAGCAAGAGAGTACAAGAATATATAATAATGTAGGAAATATCAAGGGATACAGTTATAACTGCTTTTGCTGTTGCTGTTGCGGTTCGATACAGTACGACTCGGGCAACTGCTCTGTAGCGAGTCAGTTGTATGTCCTTAACTGTCGCGCTGTACTTGTCGGGTCAAAGATCGCTGACCTTTGACTTTCGCGTAACCTCCAGCAACCTCTTCAACCCCCGAGGGTTGACTCGCGGGTGCTTCGGTGTAGTTTGCCTCGCTTCTGATGCGGTGTTTTCGACACGACTGAAGCGCTTAAGTTTTATTGTTTCCAACACTCCCCTTCGCTTCTGGAGTGTCGCTGCTGGTGACGTGGCTTTGTCCAGTCAGCAGCATGCAATACTCGAACTTTTGCTTTCCGAGTTTCTTGGTCAAGTAGTCAGCTGCCATCTCGGATGTGGGGCAGTATGACAGCTCGAGTCTCCCCTTCTCGATCTCGTCCTTTACGAAGAAGTAACGTAGGGCAATATGTTTCGTCCTGTTCGCGAAGCCGTTCTTGTTGGCGATGCGAATTGCTGACTGGTTGTCGCAGAACACGTTAAAGTTGGGTAACTCAGCTAACTTCGCTTCTTCCAGCAGCTCGCGAAGATAGAGTCCTTCTTTGGTGGCTGAGCAAAGTACGATATATTCTGCTTCAGCTGAAGATAGCGCGATTAACTCCTGCTTGCTTGACTGCCAGGAGATAGGACCGATAGGCTCGAGGCGGTAGACGTAGCCGGTGCGTGAGCGCCTGTTGTCGGAGTCGCCGGCGTGATCGGCATCGACGTAGCCGATTAACTTGGTCGGTGTAGCTGCGTTCTTATGATAAGTTAGGCCGATCGTCGCGGTGCTGATGAAGTAGTGAAGAGCGCGGTCAAGTTCCGCCAGGTGTTCTGCTTCAGGCTTCTTGAGATAAGTGGCGAGCTGGCTTGCGGAGTAGGATAGGTCGGGTCGGCAGGTGACGGCTGCGAAGAGAAGGCAACCTAGCTTCCTCTGATAGTCGCGTATGCCGGCGGGCTTAAGTACAACAGATTTCTTGTCGGTTCCTGTCGTGTAGCGGTATGGTGTTGAGATCGCGGTTGCCGTAATACTGAATCGTTTGGCGATGGTGTCGGCGTACTTCTCGGCGCTGAGGTAGATCGCGTTGTTATCTTCTCGAATGTTAAGTCCGAGGTACTGTGTGACGGTAGATAAGACAGTGAGGGTGAGGTCCTTCTGCAGCTCCCCTTCGAACCAGGTGGTGATGCCGTCGGTAGAACCGATGTAGAGGAGATCGTCCACATAGACGATTAGAAGAATGTAGTCAGTGCTCTTCGTGAGGCGGTACATGCCCTGATCGTGCGGGAGTTGTTTGAAGCCGATGCGGATGAGGCGAGCATGCAGGTACTGTTGCCACAGTCGCGGCGCCTGTTTGATCCCGTAGAGCGATTTTAGTAGCTGGCAGACGTGCGTGGAATTTGTATTAGAGCCGTGCGGTAGTTCCACGAAAATCTCTGCATCGACCGGTGCGTAGAGAAATGCGTTCGCGACGTCGATTTGGCGCAGTTTCTTCTTCTTCATAGCGGCGATGGCGAGAAGAATTCGAAGTGAAGTGTGGCGGCTGACCGGAGCGAAGGTTTCAGTGAAGTCTCGTCCATGTTCCTGGTCGAAGCCGCGAACGACCCAACGTGCTTTGAACTTGTCGACGGTGCCGTCGGCCTTGGTCTTCACACGGAAGACCCATTTCCCGGTAAGAATGGTCTTGTTTCGTGCTATGCCGATGGGAACGACTTTCCAGGTGTTGCGCTCCTCTAATGCCTTCAGTTCCTTGTCCATGGCTTCGCGCCATTTTTCTTTATGCTCCCCCCCCAGAGCCTGCTGAACCGTTGCAGGCTCCTTAGGAATGTCAGCGCCGTGGACCGCGGTGACGAGCCCAAGGATTTGGAGTCCGCTCTGTGTGTAGCGGGGAAGTGTGGTGTCCTCGGGATAGACTGCCTCGTCTCCAGCTTCTGGATCAGGTGCGAAGTTGGGCCCTATGCGTTCTGCTTCGTTGGTGTTGACTTCAGCAGGTGTAACGTAACCGTTGTCGGCGAAGTGGTAGTAGGTTTCGGCGTTGACGCTTTCGCGAGGGTTATCTTTGTCCATCGGTACGTCCACTGAGCAGTAGGGAAGAGGTCCGGCTTCTTCCGAGGCTCCTTCCACGTTCTGCTCGTCCAAGTCAGCTTCATCTTCTGCCGAAGCGAAGGCTCGATCGCCACGGAAGTCACTTGTGGGGTCTCGATTTTCGTCCAGGTTGGCAAGGTATGTTGGCAGTGTGAGCCGCTCGTAGAAGATCACATCACGTGCTGCTACTGTTTCCTTGCTGTTGATATCGAAGATCTTCCATGCGTTGTAATGTTTTTCGATGCCCAGGTGTAGTCCCCACTGTGCGCGTTGGGAGAATCGGCCGGCTCGTGCAGATGGGGGTCGGTACTGTACCATGCAGCCGAAGACTCGTAACATTTTTGTGCTGCCCAGTTTCCCTGTCCACAGCAGATGCGGTGATGTGTTGTTCGGGAGTGACGACGAAGAAAGCAAATTGTGCAGCATCACGGCGTGGTCCATTGCTTCGGGCCACTGGTGGTTGGGTAGCCGCATGCCACGTAACAGTTTGCGCATGGTGTTCTGCAGGGTCCTGTTCATCCTTTCTGCTACACCCTGCTGTTGATGGGCGTAGGGAAGGGAGATGAGTCTCTTGATTCCCTTCTCCGCCAGGTACTGCTTGAATTGTTGGGACGAGTATTCTCCTCCTCCGTCTGATTGAAAACTTTTGAGTTTAGCTCCCGATTCCCGTTCTGCTGCTGGAAGCCATGCCATGAAAGCTTCGAAAGCCATGTCGCGACTTGGTAAGTTTAGGTGCCAGACGTAACGTGTAGCGGCGTCGATGAAGGTGATGGTGTAGTTATACGCGTTTTGTCCGGGTTCGCGGTTGTACAGGATGTCGCTGTACACTTTCTCGAGTGGTGCATATGCGGGTGCGCTTGGATTGTGATGCGAGACGAAGGGTTGATGCGGTAAGTCGGCTTCAGGACAGGTGAAGCATGTCCCTCGTGCTCGTTGAAGTTCTCGTCCGTCTGTTAAAAGTAAAGAGTCCTTGTCGAGTACTCCTGCTCGAATCGTGTTGTTTAACACAGTGTTGCTTGGGTGTCCCATTCTTGCGTGCCAGATTTCTTCGTTGGCGCGATGACCGGGTGAGCGCCGATACATGTCGGAGTTGGAGAAGAGACCAGCGGTGAAGCTGGGACTGTGATGAAATTCTCGTGGTGCTGGCTGGAGCTGTTGTGCAGGTGTTGGTGGTGCATCGTCGTTGAGGAACGCCGTCGTTGAAGGACCGGCGACTGGTGTCGTCGTTGTCGCTGTTGCTGCCGATGATGTTTCTACTGCTGCCGACGTTGTCTCTGCTGCTGCCGACGTTGTCTCTGCTGCTGCCGATTGTTGAATTGTCGCTAATGCCCTTGTTCGTTCTGTCTCAGGGACGGTGTGTGAGTACCAGAAGCCGCCTGGACTGAAGTCGGGGTCAAGATCCGGAGGGTGTGTCCAGTTGGTAAAGTTGACTATGGCGTCACTGTCAGCGGTGCCGAGATCAGGAACGAAGTCCAAGACGAAGACATTGTTTTTAAGGACTGCCTTCCCGATGTAAAGACCTCCTCTCCCGTGGTACAACTTGAATTCTTGGGTAGTGCTGTCTGCTTCGAGGTGGATGCCTTTCGCCATCAACTGACTCACACTGAGAAGGTTGTATCCGAGGCCTTCTGCAATTAAAACCTTGGACATTTGCAGAATGACGTTTGTCTCCCGTGACTGAAGTTGTACAATTCCTTGTCGTCGTGTGCGCAGGCTTTGATTATTGGCGACGGTGATGACGACCTCTCGTTGAAGCTGATACTCTCTCTGTACGAAGCGTCCCGAAGAACACATGTGTTGTCCGCAGCAACTGTCCAAGAACCACGTGTCTTTTCCGGATGGCTCGTTTTGGGCGATGGCAGCGTATGTCGGATTTGGTTGAAGTGCTTCGCGACGAGGTGTGGTGTTGTCGAGTTGTTCTTCCGGTGAGTAATGAGGTGGTGAATCCATGACGCAAGAGTCACTCAGTCTTGCCATGCAGCTAACGATGTTTCTTGCTCCTTGCGCAGGTTGTCCCGTTGAGGTCGTTGAAGCTTGGATCTGGGTCGTTGGATTCGCTTGCGTTGACGCAATTTGACTGCTTGAAGGTCGAAGGTGTCGTTGCGGGGTCGTTGACTGTTGACGATTCGGGCAGTGCGTGCGCGGGTGCCCTGAAGTCTTGCAGATGTGACAGAAGGGAGGTACTGGCTTCGGTCGTTGTTGTCTGTTGCTGTAGTTGTTGTGTTGTCGTTGGGTGTGAAATGCGAACTCTGACGTTGTCGTCTTCTTCCTGTGTCGTTCTTCTTGCAGATCCATGTCCTGCTGTTCGGCGTGGATTTCGGCGCAGAGTGCTGCCTCAGAGATTCGTCCGTGGGCTCGGAGTATGGCCTTTGTTGCGCGCCACTGAGGACCAAGGCCGCCGATGATGACCGTCACGAAGGCGTCCTCAGAGATTGATCCTCCACATCGAAGAAGCTTGTCGCGCAGTTCGCGACATCGGCTGATATATGCCATTCCTTTCTCTCCTGGTTTCATCTCAACTGTTGTCAGCTGCGCCATTAACCTGCTCTGATTTACACTGTCTGTTGCTTGGTACAGGTTCTTCAGATGGTTGTACGCGAGTTCCGCCGAGTTGCCGAAGGCCCGGTAAGAGCGAATGTTCTGCTGTTGAGTTGGTGTTACGTTCCTCAGTAGGATCGTATACGCCATCATCGATTGATACGTGTACTGCTGCTTCTCATACTGTGTGCCGTTTGCTGGGTATTGCAGGGACCCGTCGAAGAAGCCAAGTATCTGCGCGCCCTCCATCATCAACTCGAACTCAAAGGACCAGGTGAAGAAGTCCTTTCCGTCGAATGGTCTTGACGTTTGAAGCTTCAAAACGTGTGCGAACTGCGACTGTACTTGTAACGCGTCCAGTGATTTGTCTTGTGCAGGCGAAGACTGCGGCATGAAGCTGATTGACCCGCGTTCGTACGGGGCGAAGGTAGGTTGCTGCTGTTGATTTCCGCGCGCGTATGACGACCCATCAAGGCTCATGGGCGTCACTCCGTTGTTGCTGTTGTGTGTCTGTGCAGGTCCCGACTGCTGGTGCTGCTCGTAGAAGGACATAAAGGAGAAAAACTTCTCCATCATGCTCTGGTCGAAGCCCGTGGGGCGATTTGTGAGAGTCTCGGTGGACGTTCCCCTAGGTCTTGTTGCCGTACCTTCCTCTGTCTGCAGGCCAGAGGCAGGAGGTGGTGTAGGAGTAGTGCCCGGGGAGCCATTAGAAGAGCTCCTCTCCTTGTTTGTTGCCATGTCTTGTAATGTCTTTGATTTGGAAGTGGTAGAGTTTCCCCTGACTGCTCTCATACCATGTTGGGCTGAGATAGCCCCTTAGGATCTTTTCAGGGGAGAACTCTGGATAGGACAATTGTAATAGCGGAAGCTTTTAGTGAAGTAATTGTGAACCACCTTGCGCTAGTATGTGAGGGCAAAGTAGATTGATTATAGCAAGAGAGTACAAGAATATATAATGATGTAAGAAATATCAAGGGATACAGTTATAACTGCTTTTGCTGTTGCTGTTGCGGTTCGATACAGTACGACTCGGGCAACTGCTCTGTAGCGAGTCAGTTGTGTGTCCTTAACTGTCGCGCTGTACTTGTCGGGTCAAAGATCGCTGACCTTTGACTTTCGCGTAACCTCCAGCAACCTCTTCAACCCCCGAGGGTTGACTCGCGGGTGCTTCGGTGTAGTTTGCCTCGCTTCTGATGCGGTGTTTTCGACACGACTGAAGCGCTTAAGTTTTATTGTTTCCAACACACCCCACCCCTCCCCTTCACTCCACCAAGTCCTCTTGTGTCCGCACCATAATCTCAACAACCTCCCTGTAAGCTCCCCACTGCACTGCTGCACCCACCACCTCCTTCCACTCCACCCGTCTCTTTCACACCTTTCCCTTCCACGTTCACTGCACCCCTCCCAGTCACTCCAGCAAGTCCCTGATCTAAGGGTTCTCTCTTATCTTAGCCGCGGTCCCCCTGGCCACCACCTCCCTCATCATCGGCCGCTCATCCCCATCCTTCGCCACGCACACCAGCGCCACCTTGAGGAACTGCAGCATCTCATCGCCACTCTCCGCCGCATCCACCATGCCATGCCATGCCATGCCATGCATGGGTCAAGAGACGCCCTCCCCTGTCACTCCAGCAAGCCCCTGTCAATTCTATCATTCACTTTCACCCCAACAACTCCCCTTCACTCTAACAAATCCCTGATCTGCGGGTTCTCTCGAATTTTAGCTGCAGTCTCCCTGGCCCTCACCATCATCTCCACCACTTCTCTCATCATCGGCCTCTCATCAGCGTCCTCCGCAACACACACCAGCGCCACCTTGAGGAACTGCAGCATCTCATCGCCACTCTCCGCCGCATCCGCCATGCGCGGATCCAGCGCCTCCCCCGGTTGCCCCGCCTGCATGGTGGCCCGCACCCACCCTATGAGGTCGCCCGTGCCGTTGTCTGTGAAGGCTGGGTCCACCGGGGGGCGCGCGGTGAGGAGCTCGAGAAGAACGACACCGAAGCTGTAGACGTCGCCGGCAGGGGTTGGGGGGGTGGGGCCTGCTGAATACTCTGGGGGATGGAAGGGGCGGGGGGCAGAAGAGACAGAGGGGGGCAGTGGGGTAAGGGGTTAAGAGGCTCCCCGGCTGCCCTGTCGTCATGGTGGCCCGCACCCACCCTATGAGGTCGCCTGCCTGTGCCGTTGTCTGTGAAGGCTGGGTCCACTGGTGGGCGCGCTGTGAGGAGCTCGAGAAGCACCACGCCAAAGCTGTACACGTCGCCTGCTGGGGTTGGAGGGGTGGGGCCTGCTGAATACTCTGGGGGATGGGAGTGGCAAGTGGGCGTTGAGAGGAGAAACAGGGGACACGGGCGGTGAGGGCGGTGAGGGGTTTCGAGCAGGACGACGCCGAATGGTTGGAGGGGTGGGACCGGCGGAGTACTCTGGGGGAGAAGAGCGGCAGGGCAGGTGGGGCGGCAGCCGGGAAGGGGGACAGAGGGGGGTGAGGAGTTCGAGAATGACGACGCCGAAGCTGTAGACATCGCTGGCAGGGGTTGGCGGAGTGGGGCCTGTGGAGTTCTCTGGGGATGGGGGGGAGGGGAGAGGGACACGAGGGCCATGGTGCAAGGGGCAAGGGGGTAAAGGGGCAGTGGGGCCATGGGATGGGAGTCGGAAGAAAAAGGAGATGAGGGCGCAAATGAGTGTGGGCTGAGGTCACAGGGAGGTGGGTGGGTAGTGAGGGCGGTAGAGCTGTAGGCAAAGCAATGCCAGAAGAGCAGACCACCCACTGTGCCAGCAGTGCAGGGAATGGCAGGGTACAGCAAACAAAGATCCGGTGAGCATGCTCGTGACAGACATACCGGGCGGCGTGTACCCCATAATCTCATCGGCCACATACCGGGCGGCGTGTACCCCATGATCTCATCAGCCACTTGCACATCATCAGTATCAAATGCAATCCGCGCCACGCCCATGTCGGCGAGTTTTGGCTCCATGCGGCCGTCCAGCAGCACGTTCCCCGGGTGCACCGCCCCATGCGCCATCGGCCCGCCGCCCATGCCGCCCGCCCCGCTGTGCAGGAAGGCAAGGCCCCTCGCCACCCCCATGGCCACCCGGAAGCGCACCGGCCACTGCAGCGACTTGCGTGATGCCAGCTGGAGGTTGGGGGAAAGGGAGAGGGGGGCATGGTAAGGGAGAATGAGAGTGGAGGGGCTGCAGTATGGGCAGGGAGAGGGGCGGATGCGTGAGTGGTACCCCCTTGCCACCCCCATGGCCACTCGGAATCACACCGGCGACTGGAAGGACTTGAGTGATGTGAGGTGGTGGTCGGGGGGAGAGCGAGTATGATGGATGAGCAGGACGAGAAAGGAACGCCAGCAATGTGAGCATGTCTTGGGACATTTTTCCAGTGACATTCTTCCAGTGACATTCTTCCAGTGACATTCTTCCAGTGACATTCTTCCAGTGACATTCTTCCAGTGACATTCTTCGAGAAGAGCTCCAGCTTCACAAACTCTCGGTGATTAGCTAATGACTAAGTTTTTATACACTGCCTTTTTCTACTTGCTTAAACCTACTCCTACGCATGATGGATGGCCAGGACAAGAAAGGAACGCCAGAAATGTGAGCATGGGGTGGCGGATACGTGAAGTGTGCAAAGCTAACGAGTGATGACTCTCGATCGGATGAGAACGGGGTGAAGCAGGCAGATGATGGTGGGGGAAGGGGATTTGAGCGAGAGTGCTTTGCCGAATGTGGGTCAGCAGAACATGTGGTATGGGAGTGGGAGAAGCATTGGCTCTGGAATCGAAGCCACTGACCTCATCATATAGGAATTCCCGCAGGTCCCCATTGGGCATGTAGTCGTACAGCAGCACTCGCATGGGCTCGCCTGACCCGCCCCCCCGTGCACCCTCCCAGCACCCCACCACTGGCAGTATGTTGTCGTGTCTCACTGCTGCTAGCAGGCGCGCCTCTTGCTGCATAGGTAGGGCGGGGAGGTGGTAGGGATTGAGTCTTGGGATGTCTCAACACGAGCCCTCCCAGCACCCCACCACTGGCAGTATGTTGTCGTGTCTCACTGCTGCTAGCAGGCGCGCCTCTTGCTGCATAGGTAGGGCGGGGAGGTGGTAGGGATTGAGTCTTGGGATGTCTCAACACGAGCCCTCCCAGCACCCCACCACTGGCAGTATGTTGTCGTGTCTCACTGCTGACAGCAGGCGCGCCTCTTGCTGCATAGGAGGGGGGGGGGGAAAGAGAGGGTGGGAGTTGATTGGGTTTGGAGACGTCTCAAAGCGCGCCCTCCCAGAACCCCACTACTGGCAGGATGCTGTCGTGCCGCACTGCTGACAGCAGCCGCGCCTCGTGCTGCTCGCATTGGCGAGGCGGAAAGGGGGTGGTGGGATTGAGATTGGGGAGTTCTTTAAGGGCGCCCTCCCAGCACCCCACCACTGGCAGGATGTTGTCGTGCCGCACTGCCGATAGCAGGCGCGCCTCGTGCTGCATGTGGTGATGTTGTGTAGTGGTAACATGCAGCGGTGCAACATGCTAGTAAGATCTAGCAGGCGGAAGCTCAATGCGGTGCTCTGTATAATGTGCATCATCATGCTAACATCGAGTAGGAAATTATAAGGATATGTGATCATTTGAAAAGGTTTTCTTCCCTTCCTCCCCTACCTTTCATCCCTCCCCCATCTCCATCCCCCACCCCCATCCCCTATCTCTCCCATTACCCATTTCCCCCTTCCCCCATACACCTCCTCTCCCCTTACCATGCGCCTCCTCTCCCTCTTCTCCACTCCCACGCCCCTCTCACGTCTCCCTCTCCCTCCCATACCCCTCTTCCCCCTCCTCCTCTCCTCTCGCATACCCCTCCACTCTCGTCCCCGCTCCCATGCCTATCCCCCCACCCCACGCCTCTCCCTCCTCCCCTCTCCTCGTCTCCCCCACTCACCTCGAACACAAAGTTGACGGCATCTCCCCCCGGCAGGGGCGGCAGCTGCTTCGCGACAAAAACCGCCGCCCCGTCCGCCATCTCTGCCAGAAACGACACTGCCCCGCTCGGGCCCGCTCCCCCCACCATCATCTGCCCGGGCCCGAAATTTTCCGTGGCTGCCCGGAGGTCATCCACATGCATTGTCTGCCCGTTAAACATTGTGACAAGCTGCTGGGATGCTGACGAATGCCTGCCGCCCGCTATACCCGCTTCCGCCCCTGCCATCGCCCCCCCTGCCGCCCCCAGAATCCCCATCTTAGCCCCCCCTCCCTCCCCCCCGCCTCCCCCTAAAAAACCCCCCAGCACCCCTCCGCCACCCCCCGCAACGCCCCCGCCCCCCGACCCTGCTGCTGCCCACGCACGCGATTGGGTGGAGGAGGAGGAATAGGGGTTGGTTGATGGTGAAACAGACGCCCATGAGTAGAGCGCCCAGCACAGCAGAGAGAGAGAAGGCGAATATGGCGCTGACTGGCATGGGCTTGGTGGTATTGGATGGCAGCACTAGACGGTTGAGCAGTTGGGGTGGGGAGAAGATGGATGGGGGGGACGGGGGTGATGGGGGAGGTGGGGGGGGAGATGGGGGAGATGGGGGGGATGGAGGGGGTGATGGTGGCGGGGGAGGGGATGGGGGTAGAGGAGGTGGGGAAGGGGGAGGGGGAGATGGGGGGGATGGTGGGGGAGGGGATGGTGGAGGGGAGGGTGGGGGGGAAGGGGGAGGGAATGGGGGGGGTTGGGGTGGTGGTGGGAGTGGGGGAGGAGGGGAGGGAGGGGGAGAAGGTGGGGGGCGGGGAGGGGGGTTTGGTGGACTTGGTGGGGGGAGAGGTGGGGGGGAGGGAGGAGGAGAAGGAGGGAGAGGAGGAGGGTTGGGAGGGGGGCGAGGAGGGGGGAGAGGAGGGGGGAGAGGAGGGGGACGCGGAGGGGGGAGCGGAGGGGGGAGCGGAGGAGGGCGAGGAGGGGGGCTGGGTGGAGGAACAGGTGGGGGCACGGGAGGGGGAACCGGAGGGGGCAAACGCGGCGGAACAGGAGGGGGGCGGGGGGGAGGTGAGCGGGGAGGAGAGGGCGGCTTCAAGAGAGGAGGAGGCGGTTTGGGGGTGGGGGGTGGGAAGGGGGGGAGAGTGGGGGGCACAGGAGGGGGCCTTAAGGGGGGCGGCTCGGGGGCAGCGGGAGGAGGGCGCAGGGGAGGGGGGAGTGGAGGAGAACGGGGGGGGGAGTGGGGGGGAGGTCGGGGGGAGAGGGGAGGGGGGCGAGGAGCAGGTGGGGGGGGGAGAAGAGGAGGCGGAATGGGAGGACTGTAGGGCGGAGGCTCAACATAAGGGGGTGGAGGAGGGGAGAGCGGGGGGAGAGGGGCCATGGGGACAGGCAGGGGGAAGAGCGTCGGCGGGGGGAAGATAGGGGGAGCAATGGTTGGGGGGGGGCGGTCAGCAGGGGGAGAGGCGCAGTTCCCAGTGCAGAGGCCGGGGTTGCCAGCAAAGGAAGAAGGCGGGAAGCTTCCCAGAACGCCGTCGGTGGGGATGGGTCCTGAGAGCTGGTTTGCAGAGAGGTTAAGAGCGGTGAGTGCGGTGAGCCCGTTGAGGGCTGGGATGGTGCCGCTGAGCCCGTTGCTGCTCAAATCCAGCCTCTGTGGCAGGCAGGCAGGCAGGCAGGCAGGCAGGCAGGCAGGCAGGCAGGCAGGCAGGCAGGCAGGCAGGCAGGCAGGCAGGCAGGCAGGCAGGCAGGCAGGCAGGCAGGCAGGCAGGCAGGCAGGCAGGCAGGCAGGCAGGCAGGCAGGCAGGCAGGCAGGCAGGCAGGCAGGCAGGCAGGCAGGCAGGCAGGCAGGCAGGCAGGCAGGCAGGCAGGCAGGCAGACAGGCAGGCAGGCAAGCAGGCGATTGGGTGGGCGAGAGGGCAGGCAGAAGGGGAAAGGGGGAAAGAGCATGGGAGGGTGTTGAGAGGAGAGAACTATAATGGGCTTGCTCAAGGCAAGGCAGTAGCCGTGAGTGATGCGCCCTACTGCGTTCGTTCACGTTCCACACAGACGTCCATCTCCGTCAGGTACGTGCGGTACGCATGCCGGTACGCATGCCGGCACGCATGCCAGTACGCATGCCGGTACGCATGCCGGTACGCATGCCGGCACGCATGCTGGTACGAATGCCGGTACGCATGCCGGTACGAATGCCGGTACGCATGCCGGTACGAATGCCGGTATGCATGTCGGTATCCATGCCAGTGCACCTGCCAGTGCACATGCCAGTGCACCCTGTTCGCATCGAACCCGACGCCACGTGTCTTATCCTTAGTGGCCACGCAGTGCATGCACGCGTGGATCGGCACGTACCTGCCTCGGATCACAAGGCATAACAAGAGGTTTCATTTTTGACCCACGACTGACTGGTTCGTCAGGGCCTTTACCCTGCCTTAAAACCCTACACCCGCTCTCCCTACCTCTTTGAATCCCACCTGCAGAGCGGAGAGGCCGTCGAGAGCGGAGGGAATGCTTTCAGACAGCTGGTTGCCGTCCATCACCAACGAGGTCAGGCTGCCCATCTGCCCCCACGTGGGCGGTATGCCGCCCGCCAGCTGGTTGCCGCCCAGATCCAGCGACTGCAGGCGCGGCGCGTAGCCGAGAGCGGGCGGCAGGAAACCGCTGAAGCTGCAGCCTCGAGCTGAGATCACCTGGTGAGTTTTACGGGGGAGGGGAGGGAGGCCGGGGCGCTGAGCACAAAAAGTTGTCACACATTTTGTACGGTTGTAGTGCGCTATGGTTGTAGTGCGCTATGGTTGTAGTGCGCTATGGTTGTAGTGCGCTATGGTTGTAGTGCGCTATGGTTGTAGTGCGCTATGGTTGTAGTGCGCTATGGTTGTAGTGCGCTATGGCTGCAGTGAGGTATGATAAGCGGTTGTTGATTCCTCTCACCCATTGTCACACATACAATTCCATACACACACACACACACACACACACACACACACACACACTCACACACACTCATACACACTCACACTCACACCCACTCACACTCACACTCATACACACTCACACTCACACCCACTCAAACTCACACTCACACTCGCATCACACGCACCTGCAGTGTGGGCAGCTAGCCGCGGGCAGCAGGGTTGGGCGGCCCGGTGAATCCCACATTGCCATCCAGCACCCGCCATACCACGCTCGTGCACGCACACTCGCGCTCGCGCGCACACACACACACGCACACACACACGCACACGCGCGCGCTCACACTCACACACACACTCGCATTCCGACGCACCTGCAGTGAGGACAATGATCCCAGCACAGCAGGACTGAGCGACCCAGAGAGCCCTTTATTGCCATCCACCACTGACTGGTCGTGCACTCACACACGTACACATGCACATGCACATGCACATGCACATGCACACATGTACTGCACCTCCACATACCTGCAGCGAGGGCAGTGACCCTAGGACAGTGGGACTCAGAGACACAGAGAGCCCCTTGTTGCCATCCAGAACAAGTTGCGACACCTGGCGCAGCACACTCACATGCACCTACACATACCTGCAGTGAAGGCAGTGACCCCAGCACAGCGGGACTGAGCGACCCACTTAACCCCTTGTTGCCGTCCAGCACCAGCTGCGACACCTGGCGCAGCTGCGACAGATTGTCCGGCAGCGGCCCTTCGAGGCGGTTACCACTGACGTCCAGCGAGAGCAGCGACTGCATGGCTGAGACGTCCTGGGGCAGTGGCCCTGAGAGGGTGTTGTCGCTGAGATCGACGGTGGCGAGGGAGGGCAGGTTGGAGAAGAGCGTTGGGGGAATGATGCCGTCCAGATCGTTGTTGGCTAGCTCTAGCACCTGGGAGGGGGAGGAGGGGAGGAAGGGAGGAAGAGAGGAGGGGGGTGGGACGAAGAGAGTTGGGGTTGGAGGCCAAGAAGAGGTTATCTGCCAGTGAGTTGGACTTTGATCACTTGTGCACGTGGGATGAGATCCCATGCGAGCATGTGTTCACCGCAAGACGCAAAGCACCTTCGTCGACCTCACCTGCAGTGCATGCACGCACTCAGGCCACCTGCAGTGCACGCACTCAGGCCACCTGCAGCCCGCGGATGGCGGACAGGGGGTCGGGGAGGGGATGAAGTACTAGAAGAGGTTGCCGGGCAGCTGCAGTGAGGTGGACCCTGATCATTCATGCAAATAGGATGAAATCCCGTGCGGGCCTGTGTGGGTGGGCCTCATCTGTGTGCATATGCATGAAGGTCACCTGTAAGCTGCGGATAGAAGAGAGCGAGTCGGGGATGGAGCCTGAAAAGAGGTTGTCCGCCAGCTGCAGGCGCTGCAGCGACGTGAGCGCGCCCAGAGGCGGGTCCTGGAAGGCCAGGTCGCCGAGGAGGGATGCTGCTGAGAGGTCTAGTCCCACCACCTGGTGGGGGACGGGGGGGAGGGAAGCAAGGAAAGAGGGAAAGAGATGGACAGCGACGTGAGCACGCCAAGAGGGGGGTCCTGGAGGGCCATATCACCCAGGAGCGACGCTGCTGAGAGGTCTAGGCCTACCACCTGTCGGAGGGAAGGGGGGTGGGTTGGGGGAGAGGGGAAGATGAGGCGAAGGAAAAGTGTAGCGAGGGGAAGATGCAGCGAAGGGAAATAAAGAAAGCACTGACCTGCTGTGAGAAGGGGTTGCACTGACCTGCTGTGAGAAGGGGTTGCTCTGACCTGCTGTGAGAAGGGGTTGCACTGACCTGCTGTGAGAAGGGGTTGCACTGACCTGCTGTGAGAAGGGGTTGCACTGACCTGCTGTGAGAAGGGGTTGCACTGACCTGCTGTGAGAAGGGGTTGCACTGACCTGCTGTGAGAAGGGGTTGCACTGACCTGCTGTGAGAAGGGGTTGCACTGACCTGCTGTGAGAAGGGGTTGCACTGACCTGCTGTGAGAAGGGGTTGCACTGACCTGCTGTGAGAAGGGGTTGCTCTGACCTGCTGTGAGAAGGGGTTGCACTGCACGCCCGTCCAGGAGCAGGGAGTGGGGTCCTTTGGGTCCCAGTTATCCAACGTGCCTGGTGGCGAGGCGGCGGGTGGGATAGGGGGTGAGGGAGGGGTGGATTGAGTTGAGAAGGCGAGGCGAGGGAAAGCAAAAAGGAGGGAAGGAAAAACGGGAACGTGGTAGCAAATGGTACCATGGCAGCACGTGGCAGCACCCAGGCTGCTACCACACCTGAGGGGTCGCTGAACACACCTGAGTGGTGACACCACACGGACTGGCACACTGAGTGGTGACACCAAACGGGCTGGCACTAACCGGAGGGGTCACTGAGCACGTGCAGCTTGAGGTTGAGCAACACTTGCTTGTCCATCTCCACTGACTGCCAGTCCACCCGCCCCCCTGCTGCTGCACTCATCCCCGCACCCGCGCGCCCTCCCCCTGCTGATGTTGCTGCTGCTGCCGCTGTATCCCCTCTCACACTCCCACCACTGCTGCCGCCGCTGCTGCCACTACTGCTGCCGCTGCCTGCATCGCTGAAGCTGCTGGCGGCAGCTGAGAGGCGCAGTGGAAGGGAGGTGAGAGGCGTGATGGGAATGGGTGGGGCATGGGATGTAGGAACAGAGAAACGCACAGAGGAGCTGTGGCGGTGGGAGTGGTGCTGGTGGTGCAGCAACACATGGTGTGGCGTCAGCAGGTCAACTCCCCCATCCACGTGCTGCCACTGCCCCTGTCCCATCGCCCCCGTCTTCCCCCCTCCCACCGCAAGCCGCATGTCACTGTGCTCTGCCTGCATCCCCATCCCCTCCCACTGCCCCTGCTCTTCCCTGCTCCTCTCTGCCCTCCCACTCGTCTCTGCCCTCCCACTCGTCTCTGCCCTCCCACTCATCTCTGCCCTCCCAAGCCTCTCGCCATCCCCTGTATGCTGCGTTTGAGTCGACTCAAAAGCAGACGAGTGCCAAGCGCTGCGGTGGGCTGTTGTCCCCTGCCCGCCATCAGCCCCAAAACGCCCGTTTTCACCACCACTGCTCAACCCATCCGGGCTGTCCTGCACTCTCCCCCCGTCAACTACCTCCCCCGGCTCCTCTACCCGCGCCACCACAGCCTCCTCTGCTGCCTCCCCGCGCCCACCCACTCGCTCCCTGTGGGCCTCACGCCCCCTGTCCCCACTCCTCTCGGCCCTCCGCCCTCCGCCCCTCACGCCCACTTCTCCCTCGTCTGCTCCCTCGCCCGCTGCCCCCCATGCGTCCTCGCCTCCCTGCCTGCCTGACTCACCTTGCCTCCGCGCTCTCCCCTCCCCCTCCCTCTGTGCATTCCCCTCCCCATGCTGCGGCACCATCAGTCCCCCGTGCAGCGCTGGCCGGCGCTGCTCTATCTGCAAACTGACATCTCCCTCTCCCGCATCCCCATGCCCAGCCGTCCCCTCTGCTGCACTCCCCATCCTCAACCTCTCTGTCCATGTCCCTTCCACCCTACTATGCCCCTCCACGCCCTGCCGCATCACCGTTGGCCGCGTGTGCAGCGCTGGTCGGTGCTGCTGCCCCTCTTGCTCCATCCAACTCGTGTCTTCCATCCAACTCGTGTCTTCCTCCCCGCCCTCACCCATTGCCTGTGCTGCTGCCTCCGCCCCGCTATGCCCCTCCACTCCCTGCTTTAGCACCGTTGGCCGCGTGTGCAGTGCTGGATGGTGCTGTTGCCCGCCTTGCACAATCCACCTCGTGTCCTCATCCCCGCCCTCAGCCATTGCCATTGGTTCCGCTGCCGTCCCCTCCCTCTCCTCCCACGCCTCCCCTTGGGCGACATCTCACCATGCACGCTGAGCATCTCCACTCCCTCACGAAGCACCGCTGGCCGCGTGTGCAGCGCTGGTCGGTGCTGCTGCGTGCCATGCACAATCCAACCTGCTTCTTCATCCCCACTCACAGCCCTGGCCTGAGCTACCCCCTCCTGCCTTCTGCCCACCTCCTCCTCCTCCCACTGCACCCCCTCTCCATGCACTCCCTCAATTCCCCTCCCTTCACCTCGCCTCTCCTCCCTCCCACCTACAAACTCTGTGGCCAACGCCTTGTTGCCACCTACGAGCACAGAGCCGCCCCTTCCCTGCTGCGTGCTGCCTTCCCCCACACTGTGCTGCGCGCTGCTTTCACTCACATGGAATGAGCTGCGATGGCCGTATCCGCTTCCCACGTCCATCTCCCCCGCCACCTGCACCCCTCCAGCCCCTGCCCCGCCCTGCTCCTGCTGCCCCTCCGCCTCCTGCTGCGCCTGCTGCGCCTGCTGCTTCTGCTGATGATCCTGCTGTGACTGTTGTGTGTGTCGTGAGTTCTGTGTGTGCTGCATCGGCTGCTCCTGCTGTGTGTGAGGACTGGGGTGCAAGTGCGACCCAGCGCCCATGGGTGCATCAACGTGATTACCATCCTGTTGCACTGCACCATGCACGTGCCACCTCCCGTGGCCCGCCCCTTCCGTGCGTCCCCCGCCCTCACCCATCGCATCACCGGCACTGACCCCCTCCCCTGCCTGCTGCTGCTGATCCTCCTTGCTCGCACCCCCGTGCAACCGCTCATGATGAACCACCCTCTCCCCTTCTTTCCCGCCTCTCTCTATGCGTCCCCCGCCCTCACTCATCGCATCACTCGCCGCACTGCCCCCCTCCTCTGCCTGCTGCTGCTGATCCTCCTTACTCTCGCCCCTCTGCAACCGCTCATGATGCATCCGCTCGTGGTGCATCCGCTCGTGGTGCACCCAAGTACTGCTCCGCCCCTCGCCAACCCCTCCCCTTTTTCCATCTCCATCCCCTCTTCCCCCCTGCCCTCCTGGCCTTGCAGCCAACCCAGCGACTTCCTCCCCTTTCCCCGCCTCTCCTCCTCCCCTTCCCGAGCCCCCACCATCGTCACTCTCAGCAACAGCGGAGAGTTCAATGGGGAGAGGAGGACCCTCACCCGGGGATGCACGCTCGTGCAGTGGCGCATGGAGCAGGGGCGCATGGGGCAGTGGCGCAACGGGCAACGGTGCGCCAGCGCTCGCCCCTACCCCCCCATCTCTGGCGGCGGCAGAGAGCGCCAGCAACGGGGCGGGGGGAGCCCCACGCGCCACCTCGTGCGCGTGCGTCCGCGCATGGTGTGGGGGAAAGTCCATTTCCCCTCCTATGTCCCCTCTCCCGCCCAGCGCCTCTTCTTCCCCTCCCACATGCCCACCGCCCTCGGCCACAGCAGAGCGCGCCAGCAGTAGCGGGGGAGGGCGAGGGCGAGGGGGAGGGGGAGGGGGAGGGGGAAGGGGAGAGGGAGGGGGAGGCGCGCGTGCGGGCGGGTGGTCGTGCAGCAACGCGTGGTGCCACGCGCGTGGCGTGCCCCCTGTCCCCCGCTCGCCGCCCTCGCCTCCTCGCGCGTGCCCCACTCGCTCTCCAACCCTTGCTCCCTCCCCATGGCGCTCAGACCCACCACTCCGACCCCCCCCTCCCGCATCACCGTGTGCGCCCCTCATCTCACCCGCTGCCACTGCAGCAGTAGACACGTCTGCCCGCCCATCGCCTGCCCGCCCATCGCCCCCCCACCCATCGCTCCCTCGCGCCTCCTCATCATTCCTCTCCGCTTCTGCCACTTGCCCGCCCCCCTCCGCGTTCCTCGCCCCGCCATGGGTGCGCCACACAGAGTGGTGCGCCACCGCCCCGCCCCTCTCCGCCTCCTCTGTTCCATCTGCCCCGTTGGCGCTGACCCTTCCAGCCGCCCTCCGCCCGACGTCCCCCTGCCCACCGTCCGCCTGCGCGCCCCTCCGCTGTCTGCTGGAGTGCCACTGCGCGCGGTGTACCATCACCCCTCCCCACGCGGCCGCCTCCCCCCATGCCATTGTCGCAGCGTCCCCTTCCCGACTGCCCCGCGTTCCGCCAGTCTTTCCCCCATCCCTGCCCCGCCGCCCCAATCCCATCCCTGCCCCCATGCCCACCCGCTCAACCCGCTCGCCCGCCCATGCTTCCCCCTCTCTTGCGCGCACATATCTCTCCGCAGCGATCCTTTCCCCTTCCCCTCCGCGGCTAACCATATCCTTTCCGCCATTTGCTTCCCCGCCATAATATCCCCCGCCCCATCTCCACGCGGCGGTCCCCATCCCCTCCGCATTTCCCCCTTCCGTCTCCCCGCTAGCCCTCGGCGCGGGCTGCGACGGTTCGGGGGAATGGCGCGAGTGCGCCTCAACGTTGCGCCAGTGGGCACTGCCAGCCAATAAGGCCGAGCCACGTGGCGAGAGCGAGACAACGCAGCTGAGGAGGAGGATGGAGGCGCGGAGGAGCGACGACGGCCGTCGGAGCATCTCGGCGCGCCGAGCCGAGGACGCGCCGCGCGACGGAGGGCGGCGCGCTTGCCAATAATTCCAACGCGATCGACGGTCCTTCGGCAGTCCCATGGGATCGAGGAGCTAAGTCGATCATGCTAGAGCGAGCATCCCCACCCACAGGTTTCGAAACCGAGCGAAGTGAGACAGTGACATGCCAAATGGTAGAGTGGAGTGTTCGCTGTCAACACAATGCTGAAATTAGGTCAGATTTGAGGTGCGGAGTTCCCGCCACAACTTCAAATGATAACCATGTGTAACAATCTTTTATGAATGGCCTATAAGCACATATGGTACCTGACCTAGTTGGGAATTGTCACATATGCAATTGATATTGATGTGCAACTAAATATCGAATATCAACAGGCCCAAAAAAAGGATATGATGTGCAACCAAAAAAGGAAAAATAAAAATAAATCATATTCCTTCCCGACTTCAGCAGGAGGTTTGTTACAAATACTTTAGGAATATATAATTTCTTCTACACAACAGGACTGCGTCAGAAATACGTGACTACAATCAGGTGTAAGCATGTACCGCATCTGTCAGCTACATCCTACCACGTCCTACCCTCTAGCAATGTCTTGCTCCTGATTATGGTGTGATCCACCTAGGAGACACCCTAAGGTACAAACACAATCTACGCTTCCCTACACAACCTTTTGCCATCCGCCGAATTCTTTGTACAGGTACAGCGTTCTGTGTCGCTTGGCGCGCGCGATGTCGTTTCGTGAAGGCCGCGTCAGCCACGCGCCTTTGCGCGCGTCCTTGCGGAAGGCGCAAGCAGGCTGGACCTTGAGATCTACGGACCGGCAGGCGTCCTTCAGGTCGAAGCGGCGGAACTTGACTGTCACGTTGCCCTTGGAATAGTCGCTCTTGAACGGCAGCCAAAAGGATGCGTCCCATATCGAGCCCTGCTTGACAGCAACCCGACAGGGTGGGGAGTGGGAGAGAGAGGAGACGAGGGCTTATAGTAGGACCATCATTAAGCGGGGACATTGGGACGGTCTCGATGATCAATCGGCCAGGTCGCCCACTAGTAGAAACGTAGGAAATTACTCGAATGGGCTTCATGGCGAAAAGGATCAACGAGAGAAACTAGGTGAGGCGGACATGTGATGGGTTGAGATGGCAGAAACGCGTTGCTTGGAAACAAGACGATCCAGGGAGAGGCGGAAAGGGAAAACGTACCATGACTTTCATGGGAAGCGAGGGGAAAGGCTTTCCCGGCTCGCGCCAGGTGATGCGGATGGGCTTGCCGTCGATCTTCCACACGAGCCAGTTCGGCGCGTACACCATGGTGTACGTGTGGAAGTCTGCCGACGGGTCAAATGCGAACTTGTACTGCGGGAAAGAGGGGAAAGGGGTTTAATGAACGGACGAAGGGTTTCTGAGGCGCCTCAAAATACGAGCCAGTTGGGCGTATACACCATGGTTCACGTATGGAAATCAGCCGACGGGTTGAACGTGAACTTTTATAGCGGGGAAGATAGGAGAAGGGGTCACTGAAAGGACGAGGGGCAACCGCAAGGCGCTCATGCGCCAGTGAATCCTGAGCCTCCCTGGTCGTAAATCTCTTACTCGACCTTGTCACCACCGTAATGAGGGGATCGAACTCGGCGAGGAGATGGGAAGGGGGATGGATGGTTGCAAAGGTGGTATGACAAGTTGCAAACAGGTTGACCATCACAGAAGAACGCAGACTTTGCAACTTCAGGAGCATCATTTTCTGTATGGCGTGTGAGAACGCATTTGTCAAAACACACAAACAATCCCCCCCCGCCTTGCTCTGTAGGTGACTGTGAGGCTCAAATCTCCGCACCGCTCCGAATCCGTTCATCTTTTTTTTAATAAGCCCACATAGTCGTTCACGTGGATGTGCATTTCCACTCACGGTTCAATTGACGTGCGCGTCCCCCTAGCTCATACGTCGGTGCGAGTCTGGAACTTACCGGTTCTCACCTGCTCGACGGAGCCGTTGCGGGTAGAGCCTGTGAGGCTATTGCGGATTCTAATGTTGGAGCCGCCGACGAGCCAACCGGCGGGTTGCATACCTGTTCGACGTTGGTGTACCCTCCAGCGATGACATTGGTGTGGATTTTAATCTGTTTAGGGTCGCTCCAACCGAGGAATTCAAAGTCCATCTCGTCGTGAATGTCGCGGTAGTCAAGCCCCTCGCCCGAGATGAGGTAGATGCACGGGATGAGCCCGCCCGAGTACCCCGGCGGCAGCTTCATCTTCACCTCGAAAATGCCGTACTGGTAGTAGCTCTTCGACTCGAATGCTGCGCCACATGCAATGCAAACAAAAAGAAACAAAACAGAACATAAGGTGATCAGTCGCACGTCATGTTGCTGTTACCAGGCGTGTTTCGAGGCAAGAACAGGACTCCCCCAGTTTTAAACCACTCTGGGAACGTGGCAAGGCCGTGAGACGAACCTCCCATTTTGTTCTTGGCGGCAGTGAGCGAGACGGTGCCATCCGGCCCGATGGTGCAGTAGGTGCCGTTGCAGAAGGCCGGGAGGCGGAAGTGCGTGCGGAACGACGCGTCGTACCCTGGGCCCGGTGCCGCAAGGCAGGACGGGACACCTACGACGGCCAGCGCTAGGAGCAACAGGAATGTACAACCTGACATGGCGTGTGTGGCGAGGAACAATGCGAGGAAGGAACTAGGCTGGAAAAGTACGAGAAGACCACGTGATTTGTAATGGCTTGGGAATGGTGGTGGAGCTTGGGCCTTATTTCAATGGACAAGACCTGAGCCTCGTACATTTCTTTGCTTGCAATGCAATGCGGCCACAAAGTGCTTGCTAGGTAGGTGGCATCGCCGACCGTCAAGGTCGCATTTCCCAGGGTAGGTCGAAGCGCGACCAAGGGTGTGCAAGAATGCGCCAATGACAACAAGCCCTTGACGGAGTGCCGCCATCCAGGGTTGAGATTGAAACCCAGGGTTGGGTTTGCTTTTGCTGGGTTCGCGAGGTGGATTGCATTTGCAATTTCATGCCTCTGGAAGTCTCGCGTCGCGCTGATTTGAGATGTGATCTGGTGGTGCCGCTACTGAGCCATCGTTACAAGTCGAAACGCGGCGAACGGCAATGACTGTAAAGAGCGAGAAACGAGTTCATTAGAGTCGCGAGCCGCTATGTGAATACTGTCGAAAGAACAGTAAAGGCCAAACGTTTTTTCCGAATGCTTTACTGTGTATGCAGAGAAAGTTAATTCCAATGTAGCAAACACAGCACATCATCCAGAAACAATTATTCGAGTGCTTCAAGTGCACAAGCATGAAACACTTGTTTGGGGCGGGGCTTGTTGGGCTGAGAAAGCCCTTAGGATCTTTTCAAGGCTAAAGCTCCATGTAGAGATGCTGTAACTGGAAGCGTTTTAATAAAAGTGTTGAACCACGTTGCGCTAGTATGTGAGGGCAAGATAGATTGATTATAGAAAGAAATTATAAGCTTTAATAATGCTGATACAACCAAAGGATCAGTGGATAGGATAGAACGTGTTAAGCCTGAGAGGAGACAGTGAAGTCTCTGTAGTGACCTTGTTAAGAAAAGGTTGAAAGGGAACAAGATGATTAGAAAGTAGGAGTACAAGAAATTAAATAGTGAACTATCTAGTCATGTACTCTGAGGGGTACATTCCCTTATTAACTGCATTACATAGCTACAGTAACCACGACTATTGCTATTCTCGACAGTTACCGTGTTGCAGTCTGTTAACTGTCGCGCGGTTACTAGGTCGTCAAGGGTCACGACCGTTGACTATCTTGGACGGTTGACCTTCGGGTGACCCTCGAGATTCCGCGTGCTCTATATGAGCTAATGCGGTACTAGTACAGTGGAGCAACTTCGGGAATGCCTTTATAACCTTTCGGTTATTCCAACACTCCCCTTCATTCCAGAAGGTGGGCCACGTGGGATTTCTTGGTGATCCCACAGAGGTTGGCGCAGTGCTGGTACTGCTGACGTGGCAGTTTCTTCGTCAGGAAGTCGGCTGCCATGTCACCGGTCGGGCAGTAAGTCAGCTTGACTCTCCCCTTGTCGATTTCGTCCTTCACGAAGAAGTAGCGAAGGCCGATGTGCTTGGTGCGGTTGACGAAGCCGGGCTTGTTCGCGATCTTTATCGCGCTCTGATTGTCGCAGAGTAACGTGAAATGCCCGTTCATCGTCACTTTCGCCTCTTGCAGGAGCTCCATCAGGTACAGACCTTCGCGAACAGCTGCGCTAGCTGCGATGAATTCTGCTTCAGCTGACGAAAGAGCGATGAGTTCCTGCTTCTGTGAGTTCCAAGAGATGAGTCCAGCAGGTTGGAGTTGGAAAATGAATCCTGTACGGGAGCGTCTGTTATCAACATCTCCAGCATGATCGGCATCCACGTAGCCATGAAGCTGCAGAGTAGCGGTGAGGTTGGCTTCGTAGGTGAGGCCGACGTCGGGAGTGGAGATGAAATACTGCAGTGCTCGGCGTAGATCCAGTAGATTCTCCCCTTCAGGTCGCTTCAGATACTGTGCGAGCTGGCTAGCGACGTAGGAGAGATCGGGCCGGCACGTGACGGCGGCGAACAGGAGGCAGCCGAGCTGCTGCTGATAGAGACGATGGTCGTTAGGAGAGAGTGGCGTGGTGTCGGGCTCGTGGTTAGGAGGAGGAGTGCGGTAGGGGGTGGTGAGATTAATGGGAGCGATGGCGAACCGCTTCGCGAGTGTTTCGGCGTATTTGGCGGCGGAGAGGTGAATGGAGGAGGCGGACTGGGTTACGTTGAGGCCGAGGAATTGGGTGACGTTGTGATTGACGGTGACTTCAAGTTTCGTTTTGATGTCGGCCTCGAATTGGTCGAGTAGCTCCGTGTCGTCCCCGGTGTAGAGGAGATCGTCGACGTAGGCGACGAGGAGGATGAACTTTCCACGTGATTCCCGCCTGTACATTCCGAGGTCGTGCAGTTGAGTGAAGCCGAGCTCAAGGAGGACGGAATGCAGATACTGCTGCCACAGACGAGGAGCTTGCTTGATTCCGTAGAGAGACTTTTGGAGGAGGCACACGGCGCCGTCGCTTTCTTCGAATGCGTGGGGTTGTTCGACGAAGATGATGGCATCAACGGGAGCGTACAGGAAGGCGCTTCCGACGTCGATTTGCCGGAGCGGTCGCTGTTTGACGGCGGCGATGCAGATGAGGATGCGCACCGAAGTGTGACGGCCGACTGGAGCGTAGGTGAGGGTGAAGTCCACCAGGTGAGTTTGCTCGAATCCCCGCACCACCCAGCGCGCCTTGTACTTGTCGATCGAGCCATCGGCGAGAGTTTTGATGCGAAAAACCCATTTGCCGCTGAGAATTTTCCTCCCTCTTGCCGATGACCGTGGGACCAGCTTCCAGGTGCCGCGCTTTTTTCAGCGACGTGATCTCGGCGGCCATGGCTGCTCTCCATTTGTCGCTGTCGGGGCCAGACAGGGCTTGGCGGACGGTGGTGGGTTCCTTGGGCGAGGTGTGGCGAACTGCAACGGCGAGGCCGAGAACCCGAAGACCGGTTTCGTTGGTCTTTTCGTAGAGAAGACGGTCGTAGTCGTGGGAGCTGGTAACTTCGACCACGTCGTCATCACTGTCGTTGCCGAGGCGGAGGGTGTCTTGCGACAGGTTGGGTTGTGGTAACTCGGCATCGGGTGATCGGCGCGTTGCGCTGTTGTAGTTGTGAGCTTCGCGTGTTATATCATCCGGATCGGGTTGGTGTACGGGCACGAATGTCGGAGTTCCGAGTTGGCTCGTAAGGGGGATGTTTGGAGCAGAGTCCATCTGGGTGACATCAGGTGCGTCTGCATCCTCGGCCAGGTCAGCTTCGTCGTGTGACGTGGCGAAGCTGCGGTGGCCCTCGAAGAGCCTCTCGAGCAGTTTGTCAGCTTCCTGGTGCTCCTTAAAAAGGGGCAGAGTCAGCTTCTCGTAGAAGATGCAGTCACGTGATTTTGTCACTTCGTGTGTCGCGTAGTCCAGTATGATCCACGCCTTGAATTCCTTTTCGATTCCGAGATGGATGCCCCATCGTGCCCGGTCTGCAAATTTTCCCGTCCGCGCAGTATGGGGTCTGTACTGTACCATGCACCCGAACACCCGAAGTAGGCGTGTATCTGCTTTTCTGCCCGTCCATGCCCGGTAGGGAGAGTTGTTGTCCTTGAGGCTTCGCGAAGACAGCAAGTTGTGCAGCCGAACAGCGTGATTCATCGCAAATGGCCAATATCTGGTTGGGATGGCCGACTGCTTCATCAGAGCCCTCATCCGCGTGGCGAGGCTCCTGTTTGTCCGTTCTGCTACACCTTGCTGCTGGTGGGCGTAGGGCAGAGACACCAGGTGCTCGATCCCCTTCTGCTTGAAGAGCTCTTTGAACTCGTCCGAGAAGAACTCCAGGGCTCCGTCTGTCTGCCAGGCCTTTAGCTTTAGTCCAGATTGTCGCTCGGCCCTCTTCATCCACGCAATGAAGCACTCGAAGGCCAGTGACCTAGAGTCGGTGTTGATGGCCCAGACGTAACGCGTAGAGGCGTCAATGAAGGTTAGCGTGTACTGCTCCCCGTCGAGCCCTTCTTGGCTGAGTACCATGAAGTCGCTGTAGACCTTATCCAGCGGTTTGTAGCGCTCGTACCCTGGTGGTAAGTCTGGGAATGGTTGGTGGTTGAGGGATGCAGTCGGGCAGACCATGCATGGTGGATTAGGAGAGTCCGCGGTGAGGGAACCGTCTCGGGGGAGGAGAAGTGCTTCGTCATCGAAAACTCCGGCCTTGAGTGAGTTTTTAAGCGTGGCGTGAGAGGGGTGTCCAAGCCGTTGGTGCCATGTTGCTGGGTCCGCACGGTAGCCGACTGTTTTCTGATAATATTTTTGTCGTGCTGCTTCGTCGTTTGCCTCCCCTTCAGGTCCTGTGTCAGCGGCGTTGTCCGTTTCGGCGGCGAGTGCGCGAATTGCGTTTCTTTCCAGAAGCGCGCGGGGAATACCGATGATGTCGTCGGTATCGCCAGCTTCGGCTTGGTCTCCGGTGACAAAGAGGCATCGATTGGGCCAGTTCCGAGTGGGGAGTCCCGTCATGGGGATCCTGTAGTAACTGTATTCAGCACCAATGACTTCAATTTCTTGGGGTCCTTGTACCGGCGGCTCTGGCTCCTCGGTAGGTTCAGGTAATTCCGCTGGTCCCCCCATGAATTCGTAGGTCTCTTCTTCCTCTGACTCTTCTGGCATTGGTTCGGGTGTGTCAGGGGCGTACTGATCCGGAAGAGGAGGACCTCCCCAGCAGGTGCCGCGAGTTGCCCAGTACGGGTCGATGATGGCTACTTCCGCGGGAGGAAGGCCGGCTGCTACAGTGTGCCCTTGTTCCGCCTCGCCGGAAGTGCCCCAGCTTCCCCCGGCGCCCCACGTGTCTCCGGTAGTCCTTGCTTCTCCGACCTCTGTGTCTTTGACTTCTGCGCCAACTTCCCCAGATGGGGCAGGAGGAGTCCAGCCAGTGCCACCTTCCTCGGCTGGGGTAGGGGGAGTTCCTCGGCCTGTCGCAGCAATATCTTCTGTTGCGACGGCACCCCATCCGCTTGTGGCCGCTTCCTCTGGAGTTAGGACTTCGCCCCAAGATCCAAGTGCAGGTTCGGAAGTGTCCCAGCCTGTCCAGCGC